AAGTGTCACCTATTGGCAATTTTGGTTAATGTAGTTGGTTGCCATTTCACGGGTGCACAAAATTTTAAGGCTTCACATGTTTGGTATATTGTTACCCAACACAATCCCATCTTTTATCTCTTTCTCAAAAAAGGATATTATATTTTGTTTGTTAGCACTAAGGCCTGGTTCGCAGAAACAATGCTGCCTAGGTGGGAACCAGGCCTTAAATTAATTTTTGTGTATTTTTTAGCTGAAAAGTATTCATTTGATAAACATTTGCACAAATATTGTGCGACTTAAAAAATATCATCCAGCATTTTTTATTTTTCAGGCACTCTGCTTTCAGGAAATATATGATTTGAGGGTTTTAAGCAGTTCTCTTAACAAAAATTCAGATTTTAATGTGCAGAAATTGTAAAAATTGCTCTTGATGCAGAGTGGTTAAATAGGGATGCTTTTGGCATGCATTCAACACATACAGAATTAACTGCTAGTATACCTCCAGTGTTGTTAAGTACCAGCACTGCTGTTGACCTGTGTTTAAGAACCCCATCCCCTATTACCTTCTTTCCTATTGCATGGCTAAATCTAACACATGAACCTGTCACTGACTTAACCATACTGTACAATACATTTCTGCTGCTTTATCTAACTACCTACAAAGGAGGAATCATTACTTACAACAATATGCGTAGTTCCTATGATGCAATAGAGGCATCACTTTGACACAGTTGGCCAGCTTGAACATGTGCATATCAAGAATACATTTTTATGCAAAGGCTTGCTAGAAATATGTAATTGTGTATAGCAGTGTGCAAAGGGTTTATTCAGATTTGGTTACTTATGTTTCCCGTGTTCTGTTTTACGAACAACTTCAAAGCAAGTGCATTGCCCGCTACCGTTTTAGGCTTGATTTACATCTGTGCACTTTTTTCCCCTGATGCGGTTTCCAATAAAATATCTAGAAGTGCATCAAAATGCATGTTAAAGCCATATAACATGTGTTGTTGCGCCTTTTTTTAACATGCATTGGAACACCATTGGGATTGAATGTCAATGCGGGCCAGGATGTGTTTATGTGCGTTGCACGGCATAACGCATGTGTTGAGATGCGCTTTGATGCATTTCCATTGATTTTGATGGGAAATGCAAAAACGTAAACATGTGAGTCCAGCCTAAGTGCGCTAGGGTGTTATTCAAAGTTAACAGTGCCATGGCACGCGTGTTGCTATGCATTATAATTTAACATCTGTGCAATGCATAGGTGCAATTGGGTTTCTAAAGATTGCTGTTATACCTTTTTAATAGCAGTCTTTCAACCTTAACTCAGACGGGCAATCCATAGCAGTGTAGTAACCCTAGTAAGTGACGCAGAGAGTAGATGAGGCCAGTGTGGCCAATCAGCTGGTTGATTAGGAGGCTTGTTTGCCATGGTAACTTTTGCTCTAGGGTTTCGTTCAGCCCTGCCCTATACATTGCAAAAAAAGAAAAATTAGATCTCCTTTATGAGTTTAGAATAGTTTTAAGCCCAAATCTACCGGTACCCAACATTGTTTCCTTTAGTTTTGGATAAAGTGGGAAAGAGTTTATATTTCTGTCACGTTTTTATTTCTCTCAGTGACCACATTGGGGAGATATTCTCTCACTTCCTGTCCTTGTAATGCCCAAGCAACTAATGAGAAGTGTGGTAGTTACAGGGACAGAAAACCCACAGAGCATAAAGCCTGCCACTATAAGAAAAAAACACTTCATTCTCCCATTCACGTTAAAGGGTAACTCCACTTTAATAATCTAAAATGAAAAAATCTTTATAAAATTAATATAGAATATTTAATTGGTGCACAAGCCATTTTGTAATGTAATGCTTTTCAAAATTACCTTTCCATTAAAAATTGTAATTGCTGTAACGTTCGAAATCTTGTCAAAATCAAATCAAACCTGGAGCTCTCAGTATACAGTTGTTGTACAGAACACCCCAAGAAATGTCACTTCCTGCTTCTGTGATTGGCTGGCTGACTGACTTTCCCAGATGCAAATATAATTTTTGGCATCCCTTACAATAGGAATTAAAATTTTTGGTGAGATTCTCCCTAAGGCCCCGTTCCCACTGCGCGATATGCAAATCGCGTGTTTGTCGCGCGATTTGCATATTGCGCGACCGCGAGATTTGCCACGCGATATCGCGTTCAAGCTTGCATTGAGCAAGCTTGAATCGCGGCTAAATCCGCTCCAAAAAGGGTCCTGCTGTAGCGACACACAACCCGCGACAGCAGGACCCTTTGCCCCATTAAAATGCATTGGAGCGCGATATCGCGCGGTAATTTGCCGCGATATCGCGGGAATTACCGCGCGATAAATCGCTCAATGTGAACGGGGCTTAAGAGTTAATTGCTACTGAACGGATGCCGACACTGCACCTTTCTTCATTGGAGCACAGGAAGCCCACCAGCTGATTATAATTAACCCAGACCTTCCCATGTAGGGATCCGTTTGGAAAGGGCATGCTGTAACAAACAGTTTTTTCTTCAGAACAGCATCCGGTAGGAAACTGCAACAAAGTTTGTCAAAATCCTTGCAGTGCATACAGATCACCTAGAGAGGATTGATTTTTCTTCTCAACAAAAGTGGAATTACTCTTTAAAGAATCCCACTGCCAGCTATTGTAGTCTTACAGCCAGTGCCTGCGACTGTCAAAATACACAAATAGTGACTACTGATTGGCTAAACACTCTGGCTGAAAATTTCCCACCCAGCTCCTACTGGCCAGTTTTACAAAAACATTGTCAGACGTTCTAACCCTTTCCCAGTTTGTTTTTGACTATGTCCCCATTGGAGATCTTTCCTATGCTGATAGGGGGTTCAAACTTTAATTTAAAATATAAATAAAAAATGGAGTTGTGCTTTAAGGTTTTAGCTCCATTCCTCAAGTTCAACTAAGGCCTTATTCACACGGATCTGCACAGCCATAGAGCGTGTTTTTCCAGCCAGAAACCTGTGCCCAGGGAGAGAGGAGCTGCATGTAGTCGCATGCAGCTGCCTGTACTCCATGACGGAACGCAACTACACGCCAACCCTACAGTCTACATCCAAGGGAATGCAGCCAAACCTGTACAGATGAGCTAGTTCAGATCAGCTTGTAGCCGCATACTAACCTGGAGTTGCACAGGCGGCTACATGCAGCACCTTTTTCCTCCCAGCCGCAGGTTTTTTCATGGATGTGCGCATCCACGTGATCAGGCCTTAGAGTGAATGTTTCTTCCATTACCAAGTGTGGCCAAGATAAATTAAGAAACCCTTATTAACCATTTTGTGATCGCACTGCAGATTTAAAGTCTTCTTTCACAATACTTTGGGTCATGACAAAGTCTGTTAGCATTGCAAACCATTTTATTTAAATGTGTTTTATTTTAAGAAAAATAAAGTTACATATTCTGCATACATACATACATTTTTTTTCTGACTAGTTAACAACTTACACCGTTTGCATAATCCTATACCACAGTTATGAATACAAAACTATGTTTTAGCTGGTTAGTTGACCATTTTTAAGGCTGCAACACAATTACACTCACTGCCCACTTTATTAGGTACACCTTGCTAGTACAGGGTTGGACCCCTTTTGTCTTCATAACTGCTTTAATCCTTTGTGGCATAAATTCAACAAGGTGATCGAAACATTCCTTAGAGAGTATGGTCCATACTGACATGATAGCGTCACACAGTTGCTGCAGATTTGTCGGCTGCACATCCATGATGTGAAGCTCCACCAGCATGAACCATTGATACAAGGCAGGATGGATCCATGCTTTCATGATGTTTACATCAGATTCTGACCCGACCATCCAAATGTTGAAACAGAAATCGAGACTCATCAGACCAGGCAATGTTTTTCCAATCTTCTATTTTAAAATTTTGGTGAGCCCTTGCAAACTGTAGCCTCAGTTTCCTGTTCTTAGCTGACAGAAGTTGTACTTGGTGTGGTCTTCTGTCGCTGTAGCCCATCTGGTTCAAGGTTCAATGTGTTGTGTGTTCAGAGATGGTATTCTGCAGACCTCAAATGTAACGAGTGGATACCCACTCGTTACTTGAGTTATTGTTGCCTTTCTATCAGCTTGAACCAGTCTGCCCATGTCCTCTGACCTCTGGCATCAACAAGGTATTCTTGTTGATTCTTGTATTCTCTTTTTCAGACCATTCTTTGTAAACTCTAGAGATGGTTGTGTATGAAAATCCCAGTAGATCAGAAGTTGCTGAAATACTCAAACCAGCCCGTCTGGCACCAACAACCTATGTCACGTTCAAAGTCACTTAACTCGCCTTTCTTCCCCATTCTGATGCTCGGTTTGAACTTCAGCAGACCACCTTGACCATGTGTACATGCCTAAATGTATTGAGTTACTTCCATGCGATTGGCTGACTAGATATTTGTGTTACGAGCAGTTGAAGAGGTGTACCTAATAAAGATAAAGCGGCCAGTGAGTGTATATGCTCGCTGATATCAAAATATTCCTGCCTTGAGAAACGCACAGAACTCATTGGCAGTTTTGAGCTGAATTCTTCATAGGCAAGTTTTTGGTGATTTTTTTTTATTTTATTTTTTTAAACGGAAGAACTAAATTAAATTCTTATATATTGTGTGTTAAAATGGTTTTAACCAGACATCATGGCTAAAACATTTGTATTATAACTGTGCTTCTCAAAATTGTACTTTTGTCCTCCTCCTCTTACTGATGAGGTCTGAGTTGTTCACCATTAATGGACAATGTCAGGTCTGTATCCCTTCCTAGTACACTGGGTACTAGATGATTGTGGTTTGCATGTAAATTCAATCTATTTTTCACAGAATCAGTTCACTTACCATAATATTGTCTTTTTCCCCCTTTTGTCCACCTTTTTCTCCTCCTGTAATCACGTTTCCCCTTTGCTACCAAATTTTAACCCCTCTCCAATTACTCACCACTAATTCTTAAATGATGATTGCCTTTTTACCCCTGCTCCATCCTCCTCCTCCTCCACAGCTTCGTACATCGGGGCCGTCCTGAGCCCCTTGACCTTCACTTGGGCATGTTCTTGCCTACTCTTCTGAGCCAGGCTACCCCAGAACAGCAGGATCGCTTCTTCATGCCTGCCTGGAACTTGGAGATCATTGGGACGTACGCTCAGACTGAAATGGGACATGGTAACTGTTTGGGTTTTTTTTGCTAAGGTTTTGGTTATTATCATGATATATATATTGTACCATCACCAAGTTTCTAGCCTTGGAGTAAAAATAGTATAGGAATAGATGACCTGCAGGTCTCTCTGGGAAGGGTAATTGCACTGCCATTTCACTCTTATTTGGGATGTGTTGGGTTGTTGTATATCATTTTTGCCTTATGGTTCTTTCTTTCTATTCCTCCAGGAACCCACCTCCGTGGACTGGAGACAACAGCCACCTATGACCCATCTACCCAGGAGTTCATACTGAACAGCCCCACTGTGACCTCTATCAAATGGTGGCCTGGAGGGTGTAAGCAACTGCAGGGAGTAGAGAACACGGATTGTTTAACAGAGGATTCAGATTGGGAACAGATTCAAGAAGAATTCTGCACAAGGGTTTTAGATGAAGGGGACTACATAAAGAAGAAAATTATGCTAAATGCCACTCAGTAGCTAAAAAGAAAAAAATCAGCCTGAAAAGTAATTGCCAGACCCGCTGCCAGTTACTGCAATGTTTGCTCTAGTGCAACGCTGCCGTGATGTGCTAGTGGGGCTGGCAGGTAGAGGACACGGGTATCCAATGCTAAGAATTCCAGCAGTGAGTTTAGCTCTGCAAGAAAAGATTGGGGTCACCAGCAGCAAGACGTTGAAAGTGTCATTAATGTACTTTTTACATTTTGTGGTAATAGGGGTGCTTTATAAGAAACCTGTCATGAGGATGGATTGCTGAACATTCCTTTTGAAAATTCTAGTTGTCTGGCAGTCATGCTGACCCTATAAAGACTTATGACATTATTTATCTGCCTACTTGTCAGTACTTAAAAAGTACTGAAGTCAATGGGTCAGGATGAGAGCCCAGCAACTAGCATTTCAGAAGGAGGTGAGCAACAGCATCTTTCTCGAATAACAGGTTACTTTTACTCAGCTCGACTTTAACCTCTACCGTGTGAAATCTTTGGATGAGGACTTTCTTTAAAAGAACATCATCCTTTAGTTATTCATATTGCTCATGTAACGTAGTGGCTAGTAGCATTTGTGAAACGCTGAGCCTATTCTAAAATTGTCAAGGTCAGTGGGCATCATCCACATAAATATTTTAGAACAATGGATTGTCATTATCATACTATCAAGCAAGAGAAAATAGCAGCAGTGCAGTGAAACATCTGCTCAGAGATGCCCTGTTCCTTGCCATGCCATTATACACGTGCAGGTAAACTGCCTCATTACATTCTGTGGATGGCATTGAGAGCTGAACCCGCCCAACCCAATTTTGGATATGGTAGTGTTCTTAATCTTAATTGGCCATACACCTAAATAGCCAAATCTAACAGATCTGGACAGGAGCAAAATTATGTATCGTGCTTGGAACAGTTGATACTTTGTAACATACTAATCATTTTTTAGGATAGCAGGATTTCATTCTGCTTTGTAATGTTGAATGAGTTTGTAGCACTGACATGCTATGTCCTCACAGTGGGAAAGACATCAAATCATGCGGTAGTGTTGGCACAGCTCTATACCCAGGGAGAATGTAAAGGGCTTCAAGCCTTCATAGTTCCTATTCGCCAGATAGGCACCCATGAACCATTGCCAGGTAAGTGACGTGTTCCCAAATTTTTGTTTGAGGAACAAAAGTACGTAGTCTGAAAACTGGAAAGTCAGCTTGTTTATTGATTGTAAATGTTTCCATGGACTTTTCTTAACAGGAGTAACGGTTGGAGACATTGGGCCTAAGTTTGGTTTTGATGAGATTGACAATGGTTTCCTGTCATTCAACAAGTTCAGAATCCCAAGAGAAAACATGCTGATGAAACATGCTAAGGTGAGGAGCCATGGGGACATTGAAAAAAAAATAATACAAGATAGGACTTTTCAGCTTTTTAGTAAATGATGGAAACCGAGAAAACCTTTTAGAAAAATATATGTGGAACTCCTAAATGTCAATTTTACGTTGCATAACTTTTGTTGAAATTGTATCTCGGCCCCACAGACTTCAGCAGGAGATGGCTCACCTCAAAGCCAACAAGATAACAGTGGTGGGTTAGGTAACATCATTTGCTGTAACCCAACAGGAAGGCAGACAATAGCTCTAAACCCTTTGTTCTCAACTGGTGGGTCGCGACCCCATGTTCAGTGGGTCATCACATGCCTTCCACTTTTCTAGGTGAGAGACTCCTCAACCTCCCCCTAGCACAGCACCTTCAGTTTTCGCACTGAGCAGCCATTCAAAATATGCTGCCAGCCCTGTGTGTCAGCTTGAGGTGGGGTGGGGTGGGCTGGAAGTATGGCCATAAGGCAGCTCCATCCATATGTGCATTGCTTGCAGCTCCCACATGTGCCCTGTAGAGGTGACTGGACTGGACTGACGTCACATTTTTGCTCCTGGCACCTCTACAGGGAGCGCTAGGGAGCTGTACAAACAATGCACATATGGCTCCATCACAGCACAGCAGCCCACACTGGACACCAAGCTGAGGATCCACTGAGGACACCAAGCTAAGGTAGGGAGACTGGGTGGATCGTAACCACTTGCCGTCCGCCCGTTGTAAAAAAACGGACGGACGGCACTGCTGCATTGGCGGGTTGCCGTCTCCAGACGGCATTTTTTTTCTGCTCGCGCGCGCCCCCTAGCGGGCACGCACGGGCAGAAAAGACCCGACCAATGCAAACCCCCGCTACCGGGTGTTAAACATATAGACGATTGGCGGCTCCATAGCCCGCCGATCGTCTATATGTGCTCGTTTTTTTTGTCCCCCCCTCCCCCTGACACCACACCTGCAATATTATAGTAGAAAATAAAAACCCCAGTGGTGAATAAATACCACCAAAAGAAAGCTCTATCTGTCCCCAAAAAAGGGTATAAAATTCATTTCAGTACAGCGTTGCATGACGGAATAAATGTCAGTCAAAGTACCGCAGTGCTGAATACTGAAAAATGGCCTGGATGGGAAGGGGGTTTAACACCGCGGATGTCAACTGGTTAAAATAAACTTTTAAAAAAAAATTTCGTGTGAGATTGTGTCTGTTGTTGTGTGTCTGTCAGTGTTTTTTATGGTCTGTTCACACTAGTACCCTGCGCTAATCACACCATGCAATCATACCTACTGGGTACTACAATGCTGTGCATTCATTTGCAGTGTGACTTGGGTCGTGATTTAATGACCAAGGACAAATGTGGGTCCTCAAGTTACACAGCTTGAGAACCACTGCTCTAAACCATCCCATTCTGTCTAATAATTCTGCATATTTCTATGAAAGTTCTTCTCATTCTTCAAGTCTGTCATTTTCATTTAAAGGCTTCTGTGATTTCCACTTGTTGATGCTTCATAGGTGGAACCAGATGGAACGTACGTGAAGCCACTTAGCGATAAACTGACATATGGTACCATGGTGTTCATCCGCTCCATGATTGTAGGAGACTCTGCAAGAAGCCTTTCTCGGGCTTGCACTATTGCAATTCGGTACAGCGCAGTACGACATCAGTCTGAGATCAGAGTTGGGTAAGTAGGTTTCTCTCTCTGCAAAATAGAGGCACCAAATCCACATCTTATTGGACCCATTGGCAGGCTATGGGCATTCAAGTATTTACATATTCTTAACAAGCAGTATATGGACTTTAAAGAAGATCTTCAAGTTTTAGAAAAGTTAACCGTTTAAACACTCTGGAACAATTCATCCTCAAAGTTCACAGCAAAAGCTCTGAAGTCATTTTGTCAGCAACTTGGTTCACCCTGCTCCCACCTCCCAGAAGATGTGATCTCTTTTTTTTAGAGATTAAAAGGCTGGAGTCACTGCTGGGTGGGGGAACAGGGAGCTGAGCTGCAAAGAGAACCATTTGGAGGACTTCAGTGCTTCTCTTGTGAACTTTAAGTATTAATTTTTCTACAATGCCTGCAGGTACAGAGGACAGTGAGGGCTTGTTGTATGCTCATTTGGTATAGCAACACATTCACTTTAAATGTGGAACTGATTGTTTTATAAAATATATATTCTTGCTTAGTTGCAATACCTGTAAGGTTACCATAACCATGGCAGTCAAATGTGACCAAGCAGAAGTACTTTATCACTAACAGACATATATATTTGCACATTAGAATCCACATTAGTATCCAATCAAAGTGTATACTTGTATGAACTATGAGGACTTAAAGAGGAGCCTGTGAACGCCAACTAGCTCTATACTGTCAAGATGTTTTGATTTTCAAAGGTGCCTCAAAAATGGTCCAATTTATCCTGCAGAACAGGATTCATGGCATCCAATAACTGGGTATGAAAAGACCTAAACAGTGACTGCTTTTTATTATTGCGTAGGAATGAGCAAAACTAAGAGTTCTTGATCCTACAGTACAGGACACAGGCAATGGACCATGACATAATGTTTCAGAGGTGTACTATTGGATTCAGGTCAGGCGAGCGTGGGGGCCATTCAATCGTATCAATTCCTTCATCCTCAAGGAACTGGCTACATACTCTTCCCACATGAGGCCGGGCATTGTCGTGCACCTGGAGGAACCCAGGACCCACTGCACCAGCGTAGGGTCTGACAATGGGTCCAAGGATTTCATCCCAATACCTAATGGCAGTCAGGGTGCCATTGTCTAGCCTGTAGAATTCTGGTATTCAATGGCAAATGCCAGTCGACCTCCACGGTGCAGGGCAGTGAGAGTGAGCACAGGGCCCACTAGAGGACGTCGGTCCCTTAGGCCACCCTCGTGAAGTCTGTTTCTGATTTATTTAGTCAGAGACATTCACACCAGTGGCCTGCTGGAGGTCATTTTTTAGGGCTCTGGCAGTGCTCATCCTGTTTCTTCTTGCACAAAGGAGCAGATACTGCTGATGGGTTAAGGACCTTCTACGGCCCTGTCCAGCTCTCCTAGAGTAACTACCTGTGTCCTGCAATCTCCTCCATGCTCTTGAGACTGTGCTGGCAATGTCACATATTGATGTGCCATCCTGAAGGAGTTGGCATGCCTGTGCAACCTCTATAGGATCCAGGTATCGCCTCATGCTACCAGTAGTGACACTGTCTCTAGCCAAATGCAAAACTAGTGAAAAACAGTCAGAAAAGATGAGTAGGGAAAAAAAGGTCAGTGGCCTCCACCTGTAAAACCATTCCTGTTTTGGAGGTCATCTCATTGTGGACCATCTAGTGTGCCTGTTGTTAATTTCATTAACACCAAAGCAGCTGAAACTGATTAACAACCCCCTTGGCTACTTAACTGACCTGATCAATATCCCAGGCGTTTAATTGACTTGATGCTATACTCTGATTAAAAAGTGTTCCTTTAATTTTTTTTGAGATATGCTCTCACCTTGCAAGCTTCATGTCAACAGATTCTGTCTGGGTAATGCACCATCTCTTTTGTTAAGGTGGCCATACACTGTACAATTCTCGTACGAGAATCGCGGGAAATCCCGCGATCGTACGAGAATCGTACAGTGTATGGAAGGCGTGCGACCGTTTCTACTGTACGGTCGAACGTCTTCCGTCGAACAAGCAGGCTTGAAAACCCGCCGAGAATCGTACGGTTCTCGGCGGGTTAGTGGTCTGCTTGTTCGACAACTGCCGAACGGGCCGGTGTGCGCACACGCACACTGCCCGTTTGCAGTGATCGGAAGCCCGCCCCTCACTGCGGTCATCGGAAGCCCGTCCCTAAGCAGGGGCGGGCTTTCGATGATCGCAAGTACGATCTGCCCGTCCAAGATGGGCAGATCGTACGAGCTTTCAATAAGCTTACGACCATCGCAAGACAAACGTCTTACTATGGTCGTAAGGTGTATGGGCACCTTAACTATTGTAGTGTATTAGCACCTTTTGCATGATATATACGTCTTGCAAATGTTTGGTTACTTACTCTGCTGATGCTATTTAAATAAATAATTTATAAGAAAAATGTGAAAATAATATTTTATGAATTGTATAGTGTCATGATGTACAGTGATAATAGTAGCACAGGAATAAATTGTATTCTGACATCCACAGGGATCCAGAGCCACAAATCCTCAATTTCCAGACCCAGCAATACAAGCTGTTCCCTCTGCTGGCCACAGCCTATGCGTTTCACTTTGTGGGATCATACATGAGCCAGAAGTATCACAGAATAACTGGAGATATCCAGCAGGGTAACCTGAGTGAACTACCAGAGGTGAGGATTGCTTTTATATAATTACTGAAATTAAGGTAGCCACACTTCTAGATTACTCTTGTTCAATCCCTTGGGTTATGAGGGGGAGAACACTGTAATGTGCCAGGTACTGAAAGAGTAAAGCAGATTTTTTTTTTCTAATCTAAATTCAGTTCAGTGAGGTTTCGCTTGCACAAGGCCTTAAGGTGTACGTTTTAATAAACCGTGATAAAACTAGCTTTATCATGAGTTAACTTTACTCAGCAGATCACTTTGTTTTACTTGGCTGCACAGAGGCTGTTTAATAACCTGCGAAAAGAAAACTTATCACACGAAACAGCTGTGAAAGGCTGAGATAAGTCGTCACGGTGATCAGTAGAGAAAGCAATGCAGGGAATGTATTCTGAGCTGCACAATGACATCCTTTGTGATAATCTACAATCAATCCTCCTGACAGGATCATAGTTTACTCTGCCAAACCACCCAATAACAATATTACAAAGCACCTCTATAGCAAAGTGCAACAGTTATTTCTCTGTTAAAATTATGAAAATTGCTAAAAAGCAGAATTTACATGCTCCGATTTGTTCAGCACGTACCATCCCTGCAGCAGTGCCTGTACCTGCTCTCAATAGTAGCCTATGTCCGCCCTCTATGTGCAGCAAGTAGTTCTTCCTTCTGAGAGCCAAGCCTCGTTCTGAGGCTACTCTAGAGATCACATGACCTTCCTCCAGGAGGCAAGCCTCACTCTGAAACTTAACCCACTGATATATTACCGGAAAGGTTTACTCAGAGTAAACCTTTCAGGGAGAAAATGCCTCTCCGCGGACATCAGGGAGCTGCTGTCCAAAAGAGTGAGACTCCCTGAACATCAGGGAGACTTGAGATCCCTGCAATACAAAAGCATGAATCAAACTACCAATGGCGGCCGCAATGCGAGGCAGTGATGGGGTTAAACATTCTAAAGGGGCACTCTGATGGAGCCAAGCAATGTAAGTGGGCACTCTGACGCATGCTGGAAATGAGAACGTTTGGCGTCCCTGAAAAAAGCCTGCTGTCCCGAGATAGGTGCATCAGCACTGTGTGTGTGCAAACACACTAGCAGCAGGTATTAATGCATTATAAACGGCGGACCATGGTGGCGAAATGGTCTTACAGACCGTTATGTGTGGAGTGCAATGTTCACTGCATCTGCCTGTAAAACATGCTCCTCAGACATCCTTCAAGCTTAATTTGGTGGGCCTGTTTCTGAAGGAGACTGAGCCTTCAACAACAAGCCCTAAGGTCACCTGAACTTACTGAACTTTACCTCACACTACACAGATACAGTGAGGGGACTTGAAACTGCCACTGTCTTCAGCATTCTACCTGGGCAGCCAACCATTGCTACTGGCAAAAATGTCAGAAATCCAGAAGAGGAGCATCTGTGCTTTATTTTACCTGTTCCTAGAGGAACTAGCTTTATGACAAGTTCCTGTATCTTCGTTCAGTGCTTCACGAGAAAAAGCCTTTATCACCAGGTTTGACAGGGTGCTAAATCAAGGGTACTTTTCACAATACTTATCCATTGATAAAGCTGTTCTCTACTTTTCTCCCTTTATTAAACAGGTACATTCCCATTACTTTCTGTGTATTTATCACCCGGGTGAGATATTTCAGTTCCTACCTGACTTATCACGGGTTATTAAACACCATTTTCTAGACTTTTCACTTTGCTAAGGTGAGAAAAGCCTTCTCACTGCTTATCACTCTCTTTCACAGTTTATTAAACGTACACCTTAATAGGGTGATTTATTATACTTGAGTCCAATCGTTGGTGTCAGTGGAAGAAATAGTGCCTATTGTTGATGTCAGTTGGTGGCAGCAATAGCTCCCTATTGTTGATGTCAGTTGGTGGCAGGAATAGCCCCTTATTGTTGTCAGTTGGTGGCAGGAATAGCCTCTTATTGTTGTCAGTTGGTGGTAGGAATAGCCCCCTATTGTTGGTGGCAGGAATAGTGTCCCATAGTTTGTTGTCAGTTGGTGGCAGGAATAGTTCCCCATTGTTGGTGGCAGGAATAGAGCCCCATTTTTTTATATCCGTTGGTAGGAGGAATAGATACCCATTGTTGGCATGAGGAATAGTGTCTCATTGTTGGTGTCAGTAATAGTGCCCATACTTGGTGTTAGTTGGTGGCAGGGATAGTTCCCCTTTGTTGGTGGCAGGAATAGTGCCCCACAGTTGTCAGTTGGTGGCAGGAATAGTTCCCCACAGTGATGCACCGCAACCAAGTACAGTACTCGGTACAAGTACAGATACTTTTCGAGCTCCAAGAGTAGACTAGAAAAAAATCAATAGTTAGAAGGCAGCTGTCATTTGTAAGGAGCACACAGAGCTCCTGGGATTTGTACATGTCTGTTTTTTAATGTATGATTTTGTTTTTATAAACCTATATAAAGTGATGCACCGATACCAGTTTTGCAATTACAAGTACTGATACTTGCCGAGTACTTACAAGTACGAGTACTGATACATTTTTGTTTATTGTCATGTGACAGTTTTTCTAAAACAATACAGACATGATTTCAGGACAGTGGTGGAGCACCAGAGCTAGGTCCCAGCTGCAACCGCTTCAACCCTGGTAGTCCTCGTGAAGTATCGGCACTGGTATCGGTATATCCCAAGTTCCCCATTGTTTTAGATTAATTGGTGGGAGGAATAGATATTCGTTGTTGGTGTCAGGAATAGTGCCCCATACCTGGTGTCAGTTGGTGGCAGGAATAGTTCCCCATTGTTGCTGGCAGGAATAATGCCCCATTTTTTATATCAGTTGGTAGCAGGAATAGTTCCCCATTGTTGCTGGTAGGAATAGTGCCCCATTTTTTATATCAGTTGGTAGGAGGAATAAATACCCATTGTTGGCGTCAGTAATAGTGCTCCATACTTGGTGTCAATCGGTGGCAGGAATAGTTCCCCAATGTTGGTGGCAGGAATAGTGCCCCACTGCAGGTATCAGTAGGAGGAATACTACTTCCAGGTAAAAGGAAGCAAAGGCCTGCAGGTTTGTAACCACTGCTTTAGCTGCTAAAACGGTTAAGTCAGCTATTTGCCTAAGTTTGCCTAAAGGTCTGCTTTAAGGCACAAATGTTGAGTATTCTGATGTGCAGGTATTTATGAATAAACTTTTCTAATCTCTTTTAAGCTCCATGCCTTTTCTGCGGGACTGAAAGCCTTTACTACATGGGTAGCGAGCACAGGTATTGAGGAATGCAGGATGGCATGTGGAGGGCATGGATACTCTCGAAGTAGTGGAATCCCTGACATCTATGTGACATTTACCCCAGCCTGCACCTATGAGGGGGAGAACACTGTGATGATGCTACAGACAGCCAGGTATGAAATGTGTAAAGCAGATGTTTTTGAAGGGGTTTTTTTTGTTTTAAAGGATATTTATTAGAAACAAACCAAAGTTTCAACAACTGATCTTGGCAATATCTTGCACCAAGAGAACCTAGTTAAAGCTGCAAGCACTATAGTGAATACAAATAAAATAAATATATACATTTTAAATGTAAAGTATATTAAAAAAAATCAATTAAAAAATATACAATTTATATAAACAAAAAAAACTAACAATCGAGACCAGTGATTGCAGTAATGTGCTCCACAATTATGAGACAACCTGGGGATCCTATGTAGCAAATTCTCTGCATGTCCAGATTTGTGTAAACAAAATCAGAGTCCATAGTGCGCACCATGTGATATTTTATTAAAGGGAATTAAGGTAGTACTAGCATGCGTAAACACAGTAAAAGCAATCCACAGGGCCAAAGCAGCACTGTCCAAGCTGACATGCTATCAGCCTGTGCTTCCAAAGCTCCACCCACATCTTGTGACATGGTGGTGGGTGGGGCTTTAGGAGCACAGAAAAGAAAGTTTCAGCTGGGCTAATTTTGTTTCCACCAATCTGGGCACGCAGAGAATTTGCAACATAGCACCGCAAGGTGAATTAATAACGATTCTCAAGATTGGGGTAGCAACACCCCCAATAATAAGGGGATTAGTGTGACCTTATCCTAAGGTCTTAAAGCGGACCTCTACCCATATCTTTACAATAACAACAAACACACCTTTTAGTAATGTTTAGTAATGACAATCTACAAACAGATACTTCTAGATAATTGCCGGCTTTGTATTCTTTGCATACCTTATTTCTCTTTTCTTTTCCAGTCTTCTCACAGTGGCCATTGCCATGGCAGATTAGTAGCTCTCCTATTACTTCCTGGATTTCTGGCACATGTGACTAGACATGTGACCGTGCACATCATCTCAGGGGAGGAAAATGCCTTTCCATGAGATCTCATGAGATTTCCTAGCAATGCTCTTCTGATGACAAGGCAATCCCAGTGTGGATTGCTTTGGCAAACTGAAGTAATTTGCACTTTCAAAGTGAATGCTCTGCAAGTGTAAGTATTTCAAAATCACAGCATTTTACACGGGACATGTCTATGTTATTATTAACCCTTTCGCTGCCAAGCCCTCCGGAACATTTTTCAAATCAGCTGGCAAAGCCATTTTTGCATTTTTAGCATTTTTTTCCTATTGATTTGATTTTCAACTGCTGGGTTGCTAGCGTTTGTAAAATACCCTCCAAACCATATATTTTCTGAAAGCGCTGGCCCGGTAGAATAAAAAGATGGTGATACTAAATTTGTAGGCCCTGCGATAATTGCGCAAATGTTACTCAAATTAATATTAAACCGATAAAAATACACAATTCAATTGTTAAAACACACCAAAATCAGTATCCGTGCACAAAACAAAATATTTTCTGATTAAATCTAAAAGATAAAACTGTATTGAGTTAATAAATAACAAATATTAGCAAATTTGTAATTGTGCCTTTTTGCGAAAATGTAAAAAATTGAAGGTATGCAAAACTGTAAATAATCGACTTATGTAAAAAATTGTTTTGGTGTTTGTGTTGTGATAAAATGATACAGGTGTATATTTAATTGCAACACAAGGTATCACAACGCATGGCAATGAGTCACAAAGCTTTGCCATGCGCGACTACAGTTAATTTAATGTTTTTTTTTAAAGAAAAAAAATTAAAATAAAAAAGATCATGCACTGCGATGCGTTCTAACAATGCACTGCAGCGCATGTGCATGGTGTGCACAACAATATGTGTGTTATGTGGGGGGAGGGAGGGGTTGTGCTTTTTTTTATTCGGGTTTTTTTTTTTTACACATTTTTTATTTTTTTAAAAATTTTATTTTGTTTTACATTTTTTTATTTTTTAATAATTTTGTATTTATTTTTTTACTGTTTGGGGGGGCTACGGTGAAATCTCTGGGGTCTAAACAGATCCCTGACATTTCCCTTTTGAAATAGAAAAAGAAATTTAGGACACCAAATCCTAAATTTATTTTTCTGCAGCCTCAGCGCTCAATGAATGGGAAGCACTCAGTACAGAGGCTTCCCATTCCATTCAGAAACTGCTGATAGTAAAATGTTTACTATCAAGCAGTTTATAAATGGGGAGAAGCCTCCATAGGGAGTGCTACTCCCCATTCAGAAATTCATGAATGAACAGGCTGTGATGTAAATCACAGCCTGTTCATTCATAACTGGGGATACATAGTACTATGGGGGTTATTCACAAAGCTGCCGAAGGATCTAGCCATAGCTTCGGCTGATCCTTCGGCTAGCTTCGGCCCCAGGACCCCTTCGGTTGAGTAGAACTGAAGGGCTGCTGTACGGGCTATTCACTTGAGCCCATACAGCTCCCGAAGTTGGCCGAGCGGCTCAGTCGAGCCGAAGGCATATGCTTCGGCTCAACTGAGCCGAGGTGAAAGCCGAAGCTGGAACGGCTGGCCGACAACCTGCTACTGACAGCTTGGCGGAGCCAGCCATCATCTCACAGTCGGCTCTGGCCACTTGCATGCAGAGACAGATCAGCATCCCCTGGTTAGCAGCTAACCATGGACGCTGATGTGTCATTACACTGAGAACCCGGCGGAGCCGCTGTGATATCACGACGGCTCCGCCAGGTTCTCAGTGTGTAATAACAGTTCAGCATCTCCTGGTTATCTAGTAACCGGAGGACGCTGGACTGCCATATCACGGCGGCTCTGCCGGGTTCTCAGTGTGTAATGACAGTTCAACATCTCCTGGTTACCTAGTAACCAGGGGACGCTGGACTGCCATTACACACTGAGAACCTGGCGGAACCGCCATGATATTCCAGCGGCTCCGCCGGGTTCTCAGTGTGTAATGACAGTTCAGCATCTCCTGGTTACCTAGTAACCAGGGGCCCTGGACTGTCATGAGAGCTTGTCGGAGCCGGCTTTGATATGACAACTGGTCCCGTGCTATAGAAAACAGTTGGGCGGAGCTAGCTGTCACTGCTAGCTCCGCCCAATCATTTTCTCCTTTTTCTGGGGGAGGGGGTCGATTTAAGTGTAATTTTATTTGCATCTTCCCTGGGAATGAGCTTTAAAGAAGCTATAACACTTTTTAATTAGTACACGCTGTGTCCTACACATAGTCATTGAACTTGGTTTGTCATTATGATTCATTTTACTCCACCCATGATGCATTAGTACTCTGCTTTCTTTCTGGCCAGGTTCCTGTTTAAAAGTTACACTGCTGCCGAATCAGGAGAACGTCTTGGTGGAATGGTTTCTTATCTGAACGATGTATCCTCTCAGCGTGTACAGCCTCAGCCTCTGGCTGGTCGACCTCAAATTGCAGATATCAATGATGTGTTTGGTCTGGTGGAGGCCTATAAACAGCGAGCAGCTTGGTAAGGAAAAAACAATGGTGAAATCCATCCCTGCTTGTACCTATATCTGTTTCTTATGCCACACTTTTAAAGCCAAATACGACAGTTCTACTTTGAAGTGCAGTAATGCAATTCTTTAACTTAAAGCTCCCTTTTTTCCTCTCATTATCAATAGGCTTGTTGTGCGTGCAGCTAGGGGTGTCCAGTCTGATTTGAAGCGAGGAAAGCGTAAAGAGGATGCCTGGAACAAGAATTCTGTAGATCTGGTGCGGGCATCTCAGGTAAGACGGAATAACCAGAACACCTTTTTATGGCAGAGCTCTCACTTAGAGCTCAAGGCAAGATTAGCATACCGGCCATGCCCGGAGTTCTCAGGATCCTAAATTAAATAGGTCCCATTTATCTCGGAGCTGTAGGCATGGTGCCTACATTTTGAAACTAGTACTTATTTTTCTTCTTTTAAAAAAACAAAAGTAAAAAATTCCATGTTTTTGTGTTGGGACTGTGTTCAGTAATGCTGCTGATGTAAATGTGCCCTTAAAGGGCACCTGCGCCCCGGCAATGGAAGTAATTTATCCTCCAAGATCACAACAAAGACTCTAAAGTCATGTTTCAGCCAGTTTCTTGCAGCTTAGAAAAAAACCACTGTATGTTTTACATTTAGAAGACTGGCAGGCTGCCAAGATTCTGTAGAAATAGAAAGTAATAGGAAAAAAAGGTTTCCGTTCCTCTGTTGTGAGTTTTGAGATCATTTTCTCTACAATACCTACAGCTACAGAGGTGAACAAAGGCTTGTTTTAAAGTGCTTTTGCTGCTCGTTCAGAATCTGTAAATTCTTTAGTGTACGTAGTGTGGGCACAGATTCATTTTAAGAAAGTTTGGTGCTAAGAGCTTTGCAGTTGCGTTATCTGATAATGTGCTTCCTACAGTTTTGGGAACATGTATTTTTTTTAGCATGGAAACAACTTTTTTAGAAGCAGGGATGAGACTTTAAGGTGGGCAGGAAAAGCGAGAAACCCTGATGGGGAGATCATGCTATTGGAGCTGCATAGATTGTATCAAGCCAGCAGCGGATTTTGTCAACTTTCAACTTCATCCATACCTCTACAATCCCTTTTGGTTGGACTGGTCTGGCAAGTTCCCAGAAACACATAACCTTGTTATTTGAAAGTCACAAATTCCACTACACTTAATTTTTATTTTCATTTTCTAGGCTCACTGTCATTACGTGGTCGTCAAACTCTTTGCGGATAAGCTGTCTGAGGTCCTGGATGCTGCTACCCATCGCATACTGAGCTCCCTTTGTCTCCTCTACGCTCTGCATGGGATCAGCAAAAACACAGGAGACTTTCTTCAGGTTTGTGTATAGTATTTATGGTATTGATGCTCTTAAAATCGTTACAAAGTTGATTTTAGCTTTACTAATTGATTCATTTTGAATGATAAATTAAACATCATGATTATTTTATTAGATACAGAGTACATAATGTGTTAAAATTTCTGTTCATACTTCTATGTCTACAGTAATTTTCTATATTCTAAAACTGCATGGTGTAGCTAGAAATAGGAATATTTTGCATCTTGGGTAATTCCATTTTCCCAAATTACTTGGGAAAGTACATTTACTATTTAATGCAACATTGTGCATGTTAGAGAACGCTGCTGCCCAGCTACCACAATATGGCACACAGTGGAATGGGGCAGCACTCTGTGCGCACACACACACAAAATGCCCTATGCATGCGTCTATTCGCATGCAGATGGTGGGGGCTGCAGGGATGGTTTTAATGTGTTGTAATTTTTATTTATCTTATTATTTTTTTCATTTTTTTTTCCACTTAACTTTACTGCTATCACACAGGGGAGAACAAGACCCTATGTGATTGCATTCGGAGGTGAAAGGTTCTCTTTATGAGCCCTCTAATTTTGTGTAAGCTGGTTATTGGCATTAGGTGGTGAAGCTGCTTGTACCCAGCATATAATGGTAACTTTAGAAGAAAAGAGGGGTGGAGGAGAATAAAGGTAGGCATAGGGAAAGGTCAGTTAAAGTGGGGAGAAAAAGGGAGGCACCCCAGGGCCACACGTCATGTCAAACAACTAGGGGCGTTTGTGGTCCTTAAATAACCAAGAACCGATGGTTAAAAACTTGAGGTGAATAACAGGCATTCAAGGGATCCCACGCTATTTTTAATTTGGGCATAGTGTCTAGCAGCTTAGATGTAAGCTTCTCATTGGACAATGTCCAATGCAGTCTTGATTTAACTTTGGCTGAATGGAGAGTGTCAGAAAGCCATGCTTTTGCAATAGTCTGTTTTGTGTCCATTTAAACATGTGTTATCAAGATAAATTGGTGTATTGTAAGGCTTTCTGATTTGAGATGAGGAGTGCCACACTAGGGTTCATGGGTAAAGAGCTTTGTAATAGAGTATGGAGCATTGTGTGGACAGTCTTCCATGGGATTTGGTCTATAGTGCACACCCACCATGTGTGCAAATGGTGCCCTCTTCAGAGCAAACCATAAAGCAATTGGGGAAGCGCCCAGATATTGCATGCACCACTAGTGGGGACATAATACCAACAAAGTAGTACTTTGTAGTTTGGTTTTCAAAGCACTCATGTTCTAGGATGAAGACCTGACAGGGTTGCATATCTGGGACCACATGTGTTCCAAGGAAACCCAAAGGCCCGTTTAGCCATGTACTTATGGGTTGGTGGGAGGAGCCATGCAGTAATGTGTAGTATAATAAAGAGATCACACCCGTGGCATGGAGATCACTTTATTCAGTTTAAATTAGAACTGCTACATCAACATCACCCGTGTCAATGGCATGTGGCGATGTAGGGGCCATCGAAAGAAGATGGATTTTTTTTTTTTTTTTTGTGATCTTACAAATGACAAGTCACCTATAAGATAAATATATGTCATTATGTCTTCCCTACAGGCTGGTCTTCTGACTTCCTCCCAATTAGAACACGTAGATCAGCGGGTTAAGGATTTGCTGGGTGTAATCCGTCCTAATGCAGTTGCTCTTGTTGATGCATTTGACTACAGTGACACCCAGCTGAGCTCTGTCCTGGGGAGATATGATGGGAATGTGTATGAGAATATGTTTGAGTGGGCCAAAAAATCACCTCTCAACAAGACCCAGGTGAGTAATGCCAAATATTATGTGTATTGGATTACTAGACCTGTACCTATGAAGTCAAAATAAAAGGCTTCTAAAATGTAGGAAGAAATGTTTTGAGAACTTGAAGTAGGAAAACCCTAACAATGAACTTTTTTGGTCTGTTAAATATACCAATAAAAATGTGTTGTTATATCTGTTGAATAGCGAAATACCAGATTTAACCTGCTGGAGCTAATAATGTTCTGTGCATTTTTGCTTGTGCTGAACTCTTATCAGTTCCATTATTTGCCCCCTCTATGGCTGTCTTTGGAATCGCTAATTTCTGCGTCACTTACATGGAACAAGCATGCAACCGGGGAAAGTTCTGGTTTGCCGACTTGTCCGTGGTGCACGGCTTAGAAAATACTGAAGCCAGTAAATTGAGGAACACAAGAGAAACCCATACAAATAGGTGGAGAGCATGCCTATATAGATGACATCCTAAAATGAATTAGACCTTGAATTAGACTTCTGTCAAGGACAGGTTAGCAATGGCAGCCCCCATACTTTCCTTATGACAGAGTCACTCTAAATTGGTTTACTTGTAAACATTTGCTCATTTTGGGCTATTGTCACTGCATGTAGGAGTTCCCTCTTGTGTAAAAACTTCCTTTGTTCCGTTCACAGTATTAAAGGCATTAACCTATTTCATTGTCCACGGTTTTTCTTTCAAAGGTTCATGAATCTTTCCACAAGTATCTCAAACCTCTTCAGTCCAAGCTGTGATTCACCACAAAACAAGAAGAACACTGGACCAGCATCACTTTAACTGGTTTTCATAGCAAATATTTTTTTAATTGTTCTTTAAAAATGTATGTTAATTTAATCTGTTGGACAGGAAGAGTATGGAAACCGAAAGTTTTAGTGTCTGCAACCTCCTCCTTCTACCACTTCTGTATGTCTGTGAAATGTAACTTTCAATGGCCCTATAGTTCAACTTAGTACCTCAAGATTCTCTCTCTCTATCATCTGGAACTCAACATCACCCCTGTATATTGGAAATTGACTTCACGGTTACATTTGTCAAATAACTATCTGTTGCCGGAAAGAGGATTACCGTTAACCCTTACATTCCAAGAAGTCTTCTTTTAGTGTCACCCGGGAATAATTAAAGTGCTGCTTTTGCTTTGAATGGAATGTACTACATTGTAGAACATTTTCTTTAGATAATAATTGTAATGTATGGTCTGTGTCCTACTCAGAGAACACAGGGCTAATGGATACAGAATGCAAAGGGATTTTAAAGTCGCTATGTAGGCAACAGGCAATTAAAAATAAGTGCAATTAATACATGAATTATATATGTACCATACAATACAATACACAATGAGTAATTTCTTATCTTGGTCCCTGTGTGTTTTATTTGGTATGAATGTGAGCATGTTGAACAGATTCAAGGTTTCACTATGATGTGTTTGGTTTTGTAATACCAGGTAGCAAAACTGTTTGCCCACTGCCTGCTTTCCAAGCTGTAAGACAAGTCACAGTTATATTACAGATCCCATATTACTGCAGAGCGAGAGCTGTTACACATACTGAAAACTGGCATCTACTTCACTTCTAGTTGCATGTAGTGAAATGCGATAGTATTGTTGGGTAATGTTGTATGCAATTACCTTTTGTATACAAGCTGAAAATGATCCAGAAAGGATTTCATTGCTGTTTTTGCAAAGTTATTAAAGCTGGACTCTAGCCTTACCTTTTTTTTCCCACATTTGTATCAACCGCTCTTCTCTTTTGAAGCGGATTACTCTCAATTGCCTGTAAGTTACTTCTCCACAAAACAAACCATTTAAAGCTGCAGCATAATGTGCCCGGCGATCACGTGCGTCCTATCGCATTGAGGCCGTGGCTACAGTGCCATTCACTTCAATGGCCCACCGCGCCCCCTCCTGCCCCACAAAAAAGTGAGCCGGCCGCAATGCGAGGCAGTGCGTTCTGGTTAGAATCGGGCCGGAATGCACTGCATCTGGTGTGAGCGGGCCCTCAGACCATTTTCTGAAAACGCAAGAGATGTTTGTGTGTGAGAATCCCAGCAGATCAGCAGTTTCTAAAATACTCAGACCAGCCCGTCTGGCACCAACAATTATGCCACGTTCAAAGTCCCTTTTCTTCCCCATTCCGATGTTCAGTTTGAACTTCAGCAGATCGTCTTGACCATGTCTGCATGCCTAAATGCATTCCGCTGCTGCCATGTGATTGGCTGATTTTAGATATTTGCGTTTAATGAGTAGTCAAACAGGTGTACCTAATAAAGTGGCCAGTGAGTGTATATTGGTAATATATTATTTTGAACCCAAGGGTCACCCCACGTTACCATCTGACCATACAATCTTTGCACAATCAAATTTAGATTTACCAAAAACTATTGGAAGCCGATTAATCGATTATTGAAAAAGTTGACAACTTTTTCAATAATCGATTATAATCGATTATGTCGATTAGTTGTTGCAGCCCTATATAATATGAGGGCCTATCTAGCCTAACTAATCAACCTGTATCCACACAGGCAGGCCCTTGTACTAGAAAGCTTTTGGTAGATCTAAAGGAGATTGTACAATTACATTCTAACCTGTGTGGTGAGGATTAGGGCTTCAAGTGTACTTGTATTACAGCAACCCTTACTGGGGACTTTTCTACAATCTGAAATCGATAAGATTATCCTGTGTGAAAATGTTAACATTTTTGAAATATTTCTGAAAATGTTAACATTTTTTTTAATGTATATTTAAAAATAATTCCAGCACAGATATCTTCCGTTTTTTGTAGTACCCTTTTATATTCTACACATTTTTCTCTGTCAGCGACAAGTTTAGTCCAGGGGTTGAAAGCTTTTCCAACAAGATCTACCAGAAAATTGCTGGCCTGCCTGGGTTTTTAAGAGAAGGAGCTAGGTAATAAAAGATTGCAGGTAATACCTACTGCACAGTGTGAATACTGTGAACTCCATTCACTATGTTAGAATTATGCATGTGAGGGTGCAAGGAGTGAAGACGCACATTCACAAAATGCTATTAGATACTGGCCTGGAACCTAGGCACGGAAACTGCCACTTTACAGGGCAGCTGTCACACCTACACGTGAAAAATCATGCAGAAGCATGATCAATAGGTAATCCAGTCGGCCCATGCTTCCTGTGCCAGATAAATGGGTACAATGATATGGGTGTCAGGTACCCATATAATGCCCTATGCAGAGACAGTAACTTTACTCTGCATGGGTGTTTTTTTTAAAGTGACCTAAACTCAGGCGTTAAATCTTAAAAATGTATTCAAGTACCCTAACTATTAAAAAAAATAAAAAACTGTTCTTTGTGTATCGCTCAGCTGTAGTTTCCTAAATCATCCCTGAATTTATACTAACACTGTCCTTTCTCCTGGAGGGTGCTACTTTTGTTCCCCATGGTCCCTGTGTGTTGTTAAAAGAGAACTATGGGGTAATCTTTATATCCCGTAGTTATCTAGGTCAACCATGGTCCCTGTGTGTGTGTGTGTGTTGTAAAGTAGCCACCACTCCAAGCTCGCTCCCGTGATGGACTACAACCTCAGTACAAATTGGTGAACTAAACCTGAGATTGTAGTCCATCACGGGACCAAGCTTGGAGCGGTGGCTACTTTACAACACACACGGGGACCACAGGGAGCAAAAGTAGCCACCCTCCAGAAGGAAGGACAGTGTCAGCACCAATTCAAAGATGATTTGAGGATCTACAGCCGAGTAATACACAAATTAGATGCATTTTGTTAATAGTTAGGCCCCGTTCACACTGAGCGATTTATCGCGCGATTTTAGCAGCGATATCGCTCATATTTCCACGCGATATCGCTCTATGTAGCTTCTCCAATCCATTTCAATGGAGCTGTTCACATCTCGTCGCTCAATATCGCTGGTAGCTTGTCGCTCCTACATGACCCTTTTTTCGAGCGATATTGCTCCTGATTGCATACAGCCCAATAGGAAAAAGTTGCGCGACAAGTCGCGCAATGTCGCTCAAAATCGCGCGATTTTGATGTCGCTCAGTGTTATTGGGGCCTAAGGTTCTTGAATAGATTTTTAAGATTTATCTCCTGTGTTTAGCATCAATTTAACTATACAAATGCAGGAATATAGTTGGGGTATGCTTGGGCCATGGGTCCATCTCCAGTGAAAGGCAATTAAGCATCTTGCAGCTGTTGGTACGTGTAGCAGTAACTACTTGGCCATATACACAGGAGGAAGACCTAGCAAGTAGGTTGAAGGCTTGAGAGGTAGTCTGATTTGCAGAAGACTGTTTGTGCGAGTAGTTGTGTTTTATAGGTGAGTTTTGTGCAGGTCATTAGGATTTTGTAAATGCTGGAAATAAAATTCTCTAAACATACTGCATTATGGATTTCACATGTAGAGGGGTGTGGGGCAGAAGAAAATTAAAGCGACACTAAACTCAAAATTGAAATAATAAAAATAGCTTCTATTATATAATCAATGACTGTACCTTTTATTTTGGTCATTGTTCAGCTCTAAATGGTCCAAAATTCGTTTTTATTTCTCTCCATCCACAACTTCCTGCCAGAGGGTGGCTACTTTTAGAGGAGATTACAAGCAGTGAGGAGAGGGAGGTGGAGGAGTCGGCTGTGTGCAGTGAGAGATGATTCCTCTGTGCCTCATGGGAGTTGTAGGCAAAGAAAGATGTGCACGTGACCAGAATAAACGTGCACGGCTCTTACTAAGGGACAGGAAGTGTGAGGGAAAAGAAGAGACACGGGAGCGAGCACAGCAGACTTCTAAAGGGATTAAAATAGTAAAACTTTATTTTAAAACATAAATAACATAAATAAATGTGGTTTGGAGAATGTTCATTGCGTAGATGTGTATAAGGAGGAAAAAGCTGAGGGTTTTGTGTCACTTTGGCAAAATACATTGTGCAAAATGTTTTAGTTAGTGGTAGCTGAACAAAGATCAGGAGGGTAATCCTATATTTTTCTTGGGATGTAAAGAAAGGCAGGAGAGTTCTAGTCCTCACATCTATGATGTTGCCAGTGTGGAAGAGGAATTTAAGTTTCCTGGGTAAAGTCATGCACTATGTCAGGCTATCCATTATGGTTGTTGTGTAAAGAAAGGAAATCATGGGAGGAAATAGGCATGTTAAGTGGAATTTGTTGCAGACGTTCCAGATAATTTGTTTTTGTCAGTTTCATTGTATAAAGTATGTATGCTAGTACTCCTTGAGGGAAATTTATCAAAACTTGAGCAGACAAAATTTGGAGCAGCTGTGCAACCAATCAGCTTCTCTCTTTCATTTTCAAATCTTAATTGAACAAACTGAAGAGAGAAGCTGATTAGTTGCCATGGACACCTGCTCCAGATTTTGTCTGCTCCAGTCTGGATAAATTCCCCCCTTTTGTGAGTACAGTTTTTTTGACTCTGCCATCTATGCTTCCCCCAAGTAAATAAGAGAAGTGCCTGTTGCCGATTGTTAAGGGTAGCCAAATTAATTTTAACTGGAAGCATTTCAAAGTAGTAAAGCAAATTGGGTAGGATAGTCATTTTGATGCGATCCTCCCTATCCAGGAAGTGCTATGGGATGTTCATTGGCACAAGAGTAGTGTAATTTCCTGGAACAGCTGTGGCATCAATTTAGTGCTGAAGTATTAGTGAAAAAGAAAGTACACCCTCTTTGAATTTTATGGTTTTCCTTATTAGGACATAATACAAATCATCCAGCCCTTAGCAGGTCTTAAAATTAGGTAAATACAACCTCATTTGAACAACAACACATGACATACTGCACCGTGTCATTATTTATTTTACAAACATAAAGCCAAAATGGAGAAGCCATGTGTGAAAAACTAAGTACAGCTTATGATCCCATAGCTTGTAGAACTACCTTTAGCAGCAATAACCTGAAATAATCTTTTTGTGTATGACATCAGTCTCTTACATTGTTGTGGAGGAATTTTGGCTGAATCTTCTTTACAATGTTGCTTGAGTTCATTGGGGTTTTCAAGCATTTGTTTATGCACAACTCTCTTAAGGTCCCACCACAGCATTTCAATCGGGTTGAGGTCTGGACTTTTACTGGTCAGTTTCAACACCTTGATTCTTTTCTTTTTTAGACATTCTGCTGTACATTTGCTGGTGTGCGTTTCCTGTTGCATGACTTAATTTCGGCCAAGCTTTTGCTGTTGGACAGATGGCCTCACATTTGACTCTAGAATACTTTGGTATACATAGGAGTTTATGATCGAGTCAATGACTGCAAGGTGCCCAGGTCCAGTGGCTGCAAAACAAGCCCAAATCATCACCCCTCCACTAGCGTGCTTGACAGTTGGTATGGGGTGTTTGTGCCCAATGTGGTGCTGTGCATTATTGTCAACCATCTTCACTTTGGTCTTGTCTGCCCAAAGGACATTGCTCCAGAAGTCCAGTGGTTTGTTCAGATGCAACTTTGCAAACCTAAACCGTGCTGCCATGTTCCTTTTTAGAAAGAAGAAGCTTTCTCCTAGCAACCCTTCCAAACAAACCATACTTGTTAAGTATTTATTTTTTTAATTGTACTGTCAGGAACTTTAACATGCTGAGGTCTGTAGAGTCTGGGATGTAACTCTTGGGTTTTTTGCAATTTCTCTGAGCATTGCACTCCTGGAAAGATTGGCAACTGTCTTGAATGTTTTCTACTTGTGAATAATCTTCCTCACTGTAGAATGATGGACTTGAAATTGTTTGGAAATGGTCTTAAACCCAGATGGATGGGCAGCAACAGTTTTTTCTCTAAGATCATTGCTGATGTCTTTCTTCCTTGGCATTGTGGTAACACACACCTGAATGCTCCAGACCAGCAAACTTTGGCTTTTATAGAGGTGGTCACACTTGGTGATGATCAGTTAATCATGGGCATTTGATCTGCAGCACCTGGCTGCTACTTAGCCTCCTAATTCTTATAGAAGCAGTAAGGGTGTACTTAGTTTTCCACACATAGTTTCCCCATTTTGGCTTTGTTTGTAAAATAACTAATGACACAGTATAATACGTCATGGGTTGTTGTTCATCTGAGGTTGTATGTATCTAATTTTAGGATCTGCTAGGGACCAGATGATTTTTATGATGTTACCTAAAACCATAGAACTCAAATGGGGTGTACTTTCTTTTTTGCTCTGTACATTCCAGGCTTGGCAAAATATAGCTTGAAGAGTTTCCAGGTTGATGGCAAGAACTTGAGATGTAGAGTCATTGATCTTGTACCCAGAGAGAGCCACAAATTCCTAAATGAGAACGTGAAAGTTTGGGAGGGTGGGTAAAGTTGGGGCAAAGGAAAGAGTATGTCGTCTGCAAATAGGAATCATTTTACAGAACAGTTGTAAATTGAGATTCCCTTGATGTTAGTGGTATTGTGTATGGTGGCTGCAAAGTGTAATGTACAGAGCAAATAAAAGGAAGGACAGGGGACTTCCCTATCTAGTGCCATTGTTCATTGGGAATGGTCGGGGGTGGCATGAGGACATTTTACAGAAGTAGCTTGAATGGCTGTGAAGAGTGGTCCTGTTAAAAGTGGACCTTTTTACCTCCTTTGACTAAAAATCACATCTGATCAAACTGATTCCTGAATGGGAGGGTCTGAGGTCATTATAATCAGCTGGTGGACTTTCTGTATTCTGATGAGGAAAGGTGCAGTGTCTGCATCCCTTTAGTAGTAATTAACCCCTAGGGAATGTCTCACCATTGTCACCAAAAAGGGATGCCTAAAATTTTTCTCGTAGCTTAATGCAGACGTATGTTAAAATCAGTCAGCCAAATCACAAAGGGAGAAAATTAAATTTTTAGGAGTGTCCTGTACACCAACTGTATACAGAAAGCCTACGGGTCATCATATTGCACTGAATAGTTTGACAGTTTTTAAAGAATCACATAAAGCTGCAACAAACGAATTGATTAATTGATAATGATCGATTGTCAACTATTCTCATTATCGATTAGTTGGTTGGATCCGCTAGCTCTTTCCTCCACGCTGGGAGGGGGGCACAGCAAGCAGTGGGCGGGTGCAATAGCCAGCCTGTTATTCGCTATTGCAATTGAAAATGTCCAATAGCAAAGAAAGAGAAGAGGTTCAAAAGAAGAGGTTAGGTTAAGAAATTGAGTGGAAGCCGGGGTGTTATTGTTATTAGCAATGTTAAAGTCAACAAGAATGATGGTGGGTATTTCTGAGGAGAGAATGTAGGGTAGCCAGGCAGATAAGTCATCCAGAAAGCGAGATACCGTCTCAGGCGGCCAGTATATAACAGCAATTGGAGAGAATTGGTGAATACAGTGGGTTTCAAAAGAGGAGAGGGATAGAGATGGAGGTGAAGACAGAACTTGAAAAGTGCATTGTGGGGATAGAAAGATCTCCACTCCACCTCCTTTCCATCCATTGGGTCTGGGTGAGTGCGTCAAGTGGAGGCCACCATGGGAGAGGACAGCAGGGGAGGCAGAGTGGGATTCCTGAAGCCAGGTTTCAGTAACAGCAAGCACGTTAAAGGAATTGGAGATGAGAAGATCATGCACAGAGGTGAGTTTGTTACAGACAGAACGCGCATTCCAGAGGGCACATGAGAAGGAAGGGCTGGTTCTAGGAAGCAGGGGAATAGAAATCAGGGTGCATGGATTGCAGCTGCTGCCAAAGGAAAGGCAGTGCTGGTTTGGAGGGAGAGTATTGGAAAATGGAGGGCTTTATGTTTACAAACTTTGTAACACTGCATTTGTGTATTTTATTTAATTTCTAAAATCTGATTAAACATAATAATCGTGAGATGAAAATAATCATTAGTTGTAGCCCTAAAATCACAGTAGCCTAAGTTTAAAATGAAAAGGTAATTTTAATAACATTGAATTACAAAATGGCCTGTGTAGCAATTATTTATCCTATATTCATTTTTTTATGATTTTTTTTTGTTATTTAAATGGAGTTACCCTTTAACTTGGGTACACACGGAGAGCTTTTTTTTTTGGTTCAGTCTTCAGCCTGTGAGGCTGAAGGAAACAAATCTGACAGATTCCTACAGCCAAGCTATCACCATGGATGAACAGTGGCACCCGTTGCTGCCAGAATACCCAAATTGTACTTGCAGCTGATTGCGCCACTTGCAGAGCCCACCTGTCCACTATAGACTCTCTATGGTGGGCACTGCAGGGTCTCAGGTGGGCTGGTCGTGGTCAAACCCCTACACACCTCTTACCCGTCAGCCTTCTTCACCGCTGGGCCCGACTCCTCCTCCTCCTCCTCCACCGTCGGGCCTGGCCTCTTCCTCCACCGTGGCCGGGCACTGCCTCCTCCTCCTCCACTGCAGCTGCTGGCTGTCACTGACTCAGCAGCTGCTGAGAGGAGAAACGCGCCGCTGCACAGATCACTGACAGGCTGTCAGTGATCTGGACAGTGGCATGTTCCTTCTCACAGTCACCAGTGACAGCCAGAAGCCTGCGTCGCCATAGCGACCCACACGGCATCAGGGGTGCCGTGTTCCTTTGTTCCTCATCCTGGTGGGGTTCCCCTGTGCCCCATTGGGTCGCCATGGCAATAGTTCCGCCACTGATGCCTGCCATCCGGACGTATTTACAAAATGCTTTTTGCGATTTCAACAAGCTGGCTATTATGTGAGGTTGCCTCCCCCTCACTTGTTTTATTTGCTACTAACTAGTATTTGCCTGTATGGGTTGTCCCCCATTTTACCCAGGGGGAAGAGACACTCCAGGGACAGGTCTGAGAGCGAGCTGGCTCAGAGGATCCAGCGAGTATAACTTTTTATTTTTAAACCTAAACAAAAAATGAGCAGTTTGCCCTTGCAGTGCTGGTGTAACCCCACTGCAGGGGTTAATACAAATTCTGCCCAGAGTTCTGAAGCATGTTAATGAAATTTGCCTGGAGCTCAGCAGTAACTGCCTCCTACACTCCATATATAAATAACGTGCATCATAAAGAAATACGTGCCAGGTTTACCCTTCTATCCCTTGGAACATTTGTGTATACGCCTATACCCAATAAACAGCTAAACATCTCCCCTATTGCTCAGCTCTCTCTGGGCTGAAGCCGCTGAACTACATTTCCCATAATGCCCCGGTCTCAGCCGGAAGTGCGGGCTCCGGAAGAAGTAGGCAGTATGTCAGTTGAAAAGAATGTGTTCAGCCCACGTTCATAAATATACAGCCCCAGGGTCACGTGACAGTGGAAAGCCCTCAGTATCTATAGTGACGGGAGACGCTTTCCGGCGTCAGCAATGAAAGCTGCAGTGACTGCTGTGATTTATTAGAGCCCTTTGTGGCCCCCCGTCCGTCCATATAGGACGCATATGAAGAGGAGACAACAGGAGCATGGTGTGTTACTTCCTATTAGCTTTGTATATAGAATATCCTGCTCTTATTATATTGTGATAGAGGAGTCATTTCTGGGCCATCTTAGATGAGTAACTTTATTTTGCAGAAATTTTTAAGTGATTTAATTTCTTTGAAATCACAAACTTGCTAACCTCTCAGCGATTTGTAGCACAGTCGCTCAGCGATTGAGGCTAGAATCACACCTGCATGATCCGTGGCCACGCGGCAATCGTGCACAAAACTGCGCAGCTTGCCGGGTGGTCATTGGGGGTCACCCACCACAGCTGACTACGGAGCCATTATTTTCTAAATGGCACCCCAGACGTGCTGGGTGGACTTTTCCGCTTGTGCAATTGAACACGATCACGGCTAAAAAAGCAGCGCGTTGTGGGTTGCAAAAGAAGGTACATGTACCTTTTTTTCAGCGATTGCCGCGTGGATGTAACCCCATTGAAATCAATGGGGCAGTGTGGCAACCGCTGTGTGCACACGATCGCGCATCCCGGGATCTCTCAGATCTGCACCTAGCCTTAAGCTGGCCAGTGACAATTGCTCTGCAATCGCCTCTATGGCTCATCTACAAAACGCGGATGGAGAGTGATTTGTAGCAGAACGCGCCAACCTAACGATGTAGCACTAGTTTAAAGAAGATCTCCTGGATTTTGAAACATTAACCATTGCAGTAACCCTGGCACTGCAAGGGTTACTGCTTGTTTTGGCCTGGGGGAACGGAGATTGTAAGCTCCCACGGGCAGGACCTGCCTTCTTGTCTTAATTTGTATTGTAATTGTAATGTCTTCCTTGTGTTGTAAAGCACTGCGCAAACTGTTGGCGCTATATAAATCCTGTATGATAATAAAGAAGATGCACTCACCTGATCCTCGATCCTTTGGTGGAGACTGGGGATCAGGCAAGTATATTTTCTTTATTTGTGCCCCTAGACCAAAATGAGCAGTTAACCCTTGCAGTGTGGGGACAGCTGTAGAGGCGTAGTCCACCTTTTATGAACAAAAAATAAATTGAATGCACACACATTTATAAAAGAAAAAAATTGCATTTATTATTTTTTGCATTGGATGCAATGCTCTGGCTCCAGCAGAATATTTCTCCTAGTCCATGTCTGTACCAAAGTACAAACTTTAAGTTGCAGGGATGGGAGGAAGTTTGAATGATCTACAAGTGTGGTGATGTCACCGCTTTTGTACTCCACTGTAGGGACTTGTAGTTCTCAATGGAGTACAAGTGCAGGGATGTCACCGAAATTGTAGTCCATTCATACTCACATCCCTGAAATGGAACATCTGCACCTCAGTATGGACAGGGACTGGTGGAAGAGTCTGCACGAGTGGAGCCCTGCCACATTCAAAAGATGCCTGTTATGCTGCAGAGAGAACCCTGCAATTTAGGTAAGGGTGGGGGAGTTTGGGAATGTGAACCCCCAAATGTTGCAACCTAAATACCAGTGTGACAAAACATGATCTGAAATGTAAATTTAGCCTTTAAACACACACTGTATGCAACCTTAAAAGATTATTATTTGACTCCAGACGTAATTTGTTGCACAATCCAAAGCCCCAAAGCTGAATATGTTCTCAATGGGGCGTAAAGCTGAATTTCACGTGGCTGGTTCTCCCAACCCTCATTTTATCTGGTGAACTGTATTGAGATTTTTTTTGTTTTGTTTATTCTTTTAAACTCACATGACCATGAACAGTTCATTAGTATTCAATAAACATTGCTGACTTTATTTTTTTTTTATATCTTAGGCTTCCAAAAATAAAAGAGGATTGAAAGGTTAGTTCTTGGTGCAGGTTTGTTCTGTCATTATAACTGTTTGAAACAGTTATAATGTTTATTCTTTCAGATGATTGCAAAACCAGGAAATAGTATGGCCTGGCAGTGGGGAGGAAGGAGGTCCTGATTCCGCTGTAAAGATTTGTATTTATTTAGGTTGACTTCATTTAGAATATTGTGTCCAGTTCTGAAGACTGCACTTACAAAAACAATATTTATAAAATAGAACGAGTCTAAAGAGCTGCAACAAAAATGTTAACAGTTCTGTGGGATAAAACATACCAGAAGAGACTACAGGAACTTAATATGTACAGTCTTGAGGAAATGAGGGCCATGATGGTAACCTTTAAATACAATACAGGTGCAGTACCCTGTGCTAGGTGCTTTGCATTACTGTTCATTTGAATGGCACCCCCAACAGACCTCCTGGTGGCCATGTGTTGCAGCATCTTGCAATGCGTGGTGCTGCAAAACTGTGTGATGGGGAAAAAAAAAAGTAATGTGTGTCCTGTTTATTTTCACCACAAAGCGACGTCATGTGTCAATCTTTTCTGTATTTACGTTTTTAAAACTAAATTTGCTTCCTCAGTGTTTATGCTGTAGTGTAAGTAAAGTTAGTCTGTGCTTTTACTATATAGAGCCAAGCAAAAGGATCATTTTATCTCCACCACCACCCCAGCAGCATACACCTACGTTTCCTTGACTCCACTTCAGTGGCTGGTTGGGAGAGTAAAGGAACCCATTGCTTTTCCTTTAGCATAATCCGTTTTACCCACTTAAACTTTGTTATTTAAATATATGCCTTGCCCTTGGGGGGAGTCACCCTCCTGGTAATGGTTGTCACAGACACAGGAAGTAATGGAAAAACCATAACTTTACACTTGTCACCAGAACAAGAGGCAGGGAGAAATCTTGGGACAGCTGTCTAAGAGGTGTACCCCCTCACTGTGTAAACATTTCCTTTCACTTCCTGTTTTGTCTCTGGGAGATTTCCTTTCAAATCCCGTCCCAGACAGGCACACCACAACAACAACAAAAACGGGCAGGTATTGTAACTCTTCCCTACTCTAAAATCTAATTTAAAAAAAAGACACCCGTACTTACACTTATATCGTTGGACTTGCTCATTAAACATTGAAACACTTCATGTTCTTGTTTTTATTTATTATAAAGATTCTATTGATGATGTCCTTGGTGATCTTCTTGGTGAAGATGGTGAGTGATTATTTTGCTTCTACCCGTTGCATAATAGAGACCTAAAATGACCCAAATGTATGTCAAATACTGTATGAAATATACCCTATTTTCTTAGCTTTGCTATAATTTAAAATATGTATTTTGGGAATTGACATTATTACATCAATGTCCCATGACCGCACCAAGGGTCTGGAGGGTCCCACAGGCAGGTGCGGGCAGTGGGGTTCCCCAGGAAGGAGGAGCAGGCGCCACGGTTCACAGAACATGCAGTACCGCAGGCAGCTACTTTATTTTAAAAATTTAAAGTGCAAGTATCGGCACTTAGTATCGGGGCATCGTACTCCGTGAAAATGCCCAGTATCAGCACTGATATCAGTGCATCCCTAGTTAAAACCCAACTGAAATTTATTTATTTATTTGCGTAATGTAAAAGGCTGCATATTCAGTAATAAGTCTGCTTGTTCTTTTGCTTTTTTTTACATGCAATGTGCTGCAGCAAGGGTTAAACACCCTGCGTGTCGGGATAGCATGTTGGATAGCCATACTACTGCTTTTACTCAAAACACAGTGGCCCAGGTCTCCTAACATCAGTCATGATGATTTAGCCCCTTTGTTTCCAGAGCCATTAAAAAAAAATGTTAGTACACATGATAATTGCACATTTTAGGACTGATGATTACTTAAAAACCTCAAAACCCCCCACTTGTTTGTGCGCTTTATAACGTGTGCAAACGTGCAGGAAAAACTGTGTGTTTGCACCACAAGCACGTTGCATGTTATTGATGCATTCTGGGAACGTGTGTTGTTTTTTCGAGTTTACTGCGCGTTCACATAAAACCTAGGTGTACACAGGGATTTAGGGTGGCTCCACTCTGTGGAAAAGCAACTGATCCACTCTTGGAAAGCAGCATTGCCAGCCTGTGGAGAGTGTGGTGTCAGGTGCTATATCAAATTTACATGTACATGGCCAACAAATTAAATCCAAACTCCAGCTAACACTTTTCAAGCAATTACAGCAACTGTTTGTTTTTTTATTCCTTTTGGGATAAAGGTTTTTTTTACATAAATGAATAAAATCTGACCATTGTAAGCCCCCATATCGGTGTAAATTGGTTTGTCTGAACACTCTATCTGCAACTATTGCTGGACAGCTTTGTCTGTTAAAGTAAGTTACAAAATAAAAAATCACAGGTTGTTATTATTATACAGGATTTCTATAGCGCCAACAGTTTGCACAGCGCTTTACAATATAAGGAAGACATTACAATCGCAATACAATTCAAGATAAGATGGTAAGGAGGCCCCTACCCCTGAGGGCTTACAATCGGATCACCAAGTGAAAATATAGGAAAAAAAGAAAACAAATGCAGCAACCAAATTTACAGTTTGATATGCTGCGATATATTGTATTTTTGCTTTAGGGTTTAGGTAAGATTGAATTGGTGTGGGACGTGGAGTTCATAACATCACCCACCTAAGTGCCAATGTTACCTTTTCTGTCCATCTCCTTTGCTGCATATTGTGTCTAGCTGTAGAAATGCTCAGCACTTTTTCAACTTCTCGTATTTGTCTGGTGTCTGTAAACAGATCCATCACCACCGAAGCCACATAAGACCTCCCCATGGACCTCCGCTTCTGCCAACAAAACCCGCTCTGCACTTTCTGCTAGCACCACTAAGAAGTAAGATATTATTAAGTCTTTACCTCTTTCTTTTCTTTCTGGAAGTACAAATGTGCTTTTCTATTCTTTTATTTTCATGTTACATCAGGTCAACGCTTAATGACGACTTTTTCAGAGAGATGGCAAAAGAAACAGCCGAGGTAATTATAATGGTTGGCAGGAGGGAGGGTGTTGTGACAGCACTGCTTTATTGTTGTTGAATTATATAGACCAGGTAGGTATGTGACTGCAACATACTCTTTGTATCTTGTAGTGCAGAAAAGCTTTATATGATGATCTTTAATCTGTAATTTCGCTATAATTAGGCCAAGAAAACAAAACAAAAGAACTCCGTCCAAAACTGTTATCTAGAATATAGATGAGTGATGCATGTCTATAAATTATATACATTAATATGAATACATTTTATTTGCAAATTAATTTAAAGCATTTGGGCTGCAAACTTTTGCCAGCTGTCTGCTTTCTACATTGCTTCTGGCTTTCACAATTTGATATCCTATCCTTTACAGGGTTATTCACAAAAGGGTGAAGGGTTTGCAGAAGGCAGAAGTGACCAATCTAGGACAACATAGCTGATTTGGAGACATTTTCCAAATCAGTTCACTTTCCAGTTAAGCTATGTTGTCCTAGGTTGTTCACTTCTCCTGCTTCCTCCAAACTCTTCACCCTTTTGTGAATAACCCTGTTGCTTTTAAAGCTGCACTCCAGGGAGAAATAAGAGATCTATAATATTGCAGCTCTATATTTATTTCTTTATCAATACATGGATATTTAAAGTGCTATTAAACTCTAAATATTGTTTTCAATAATTAATCCATATTAAATAAATATAAATTGCCCAGTAAAGTATTTCTTAAAATCTTTGCCCAAGCACTTGTAGTCATCATGTTTCCGAACAGCTGACCCCCAGCTCTCTCAGCTCGGCATCCCTGAACTTCCTGCCAAGTTCATGATCGTAAGGGACAGAGCAGCCCCCAGCATCTGTCAATCTAATAGCTTGGAGGGAGGAGCAAAGAAAAAGCGGAGTGTCTTGCCTTGTTGTGCCTGTGTGTTTGTGGAGGCACACGCAAGGGTGGCTCCATAGGACCCTGCAAAAGAAAGGAGCCCCCCTACAATAGGAAATCGGGGCCAGTGCTCAGGGGACCAGCTGATTCTGCAGGAAGCTAAAAGTTTTAGACGTTAAGAAACATTTGCAATTTTTTGGCATATTTATAAAACCAGTTAATCTGACATTCACCAAACATACTGCAGTTGAATCTGCTAGGTGCATGTGTTCTAAATGACAGTGATTAATTCACCACCAGTAAATGTTTGGTGAAAGTCACATTCACTGCCTTATAAATATGCCCCATGAAGTCTCCTCTACCAAAATACTTCTGCTTAAAGAGCTACTACATTGCAATTAATGGTGTGGTAGTTTTTTTTAAAGGAATTCGATGCTGCATATACTGTATGGCTGGGAAACAATAGAAGATTGGTTGTGCTCTCATTCAGTAAGCTGTTGTGTTCTATGTTCACAAATCCTACTTTTATATATTAAAAGGGCTAAAATCATCAAGTAGAATCAAATGTTCTTGGTACATCGTGATTTGCAATTGTACTATGGCACAAAAGCTAAGGCTTTGTCCATCTTGCAATACCAGCAGAAATGTTTGTTTCACCATAGTCCTTACTTTTATGTATCAGAGAATAAAGAGCAGCTAATATGTCATTTTTCTAAGTACCACCATGTTTTTCAGTTCAGTGCCATGTTTTAAAAACATGATGGTTGGTGCTTTGTGCTCTTGTATTATAAGCTGGGAACATCTGTACATTTCCTAGAAAATAATTCATTCTTTTCGTTGAACAGGATTCTGATGTTTCAGATGCTGATCCACAGGCTCTTCTGGAAAGCTTGAAGGTAACCCTGCACATTACTTTACGGTTATGTTAAAGTCAATTTCTTGGGTGGTATAAAAAAAAACCCTTGCAGTGTAGCCCCCTGCACTGCAAGATTTAAATGCTTGTTAACTTTAGGGGTTAGAGGAAGATGCTGTATTACTTACAGTATTCCCCGCTCTGACAGGCTCCAGCGCTCTCCTCATCCCTCTGTTGCTCTGGGCTGTGGGCAGTCCCTCAGCATCATTATGTATAATGTAGGACTATTAGTCCTGCATTATATGTGAGGAGGTAAGTGTGCGTCCACTGCCGGGGACACCTTAGAGAGGAGTATTTTAGTATAGTACTTCTGCACTCAAGTCTTCTTTCTCTAAACTACAGCTTTCCAGCACTCCCAATGTGTAAACCCTTTCAAATACAAAAGGTAAAAAAAAAAATATGAAGTGCAGCGCTCATTGATCCCTATCTGAATGTTAGTGCACAATAATTCACCGCCTTCTAATTAATATACAGTGTGTGTGTGTATCCATCTTGTAGGAAAGTCACTGGTCTTTAATCAGTATTTGGCAATAAATGCAGCTTCATTGCATGCAACGTAAAAGTCTCCTTTAAACAAACAATTTCAGGCAGAACTCAAAAGTAACACAAATAAAAAGGCCTACTCCACCTTAGGAGGTACATAACATAAAAAAATGCATAAAATAACAACAATTATTTAATATAACAGTCTGTAATGATGCTCTAATACAACCAGCAATCAAAACAGTTGTGAGATGGTGCTTTCACTTTTTGGTACATATGAAGTGGTGCTATATTTCCTTTAGGGCAGGTTCACACCATTTTCCGGACCAGATCTGGAACGCAGTGCATTGCGTTTGGCTGCGTTCGGGAAGTGTTTTTTTGTGTGCTTAAAATGGTCTTACAGGTGCGTTCCTGTGCGTTTGTATGCGTTTTTGATGCATTTATATGCGTTTCTATACGTTCCAGTGCAGACCAGACGTAATAAGACGACCAGTATTTGTCTGGTCTGGAACGGACTGCGCTGGTGTGAACAGAGGCCTAGAAATAGCATAGGGATACATTAGGATCCATTCTGGGTCCGGAAACAATCTGGTCCGGTCTGGAGATGATCTGGGTGTGGTGTGAATGGGCCCTTTAAAGAGGAGGCTTCGGGGGACCAGTTGCAAAGGTGGAGCCTGCTGGAGCAAGGAACATGGTAAGCAATTTCCCTGCAAAGTGCAAATTACCTTACAATGTGAACAACCTATTTGACTTTAGTAAATTAACTGTCTAATTCCCCATTCCGGGCAAGTGACAGTGTATGGGTAAATTCCACCCCAAGGTCACTTTAGACTCTCTCCTTTCTAACACCCACCGGTGCTCCTTCATCTGTGGCTACCACTGCAAAATACCTGGTGGTGCTGTATGAAGACTTTGTCACTTTCTCTGAATGGGGAAGATGACAGCGTCTGTTATTCCACTTCTTTATTTTGCTTAAATGTTTCTTTTTTTGTAGTGGGTGCACCCATTACACTCCATTTGCAAAACATGCTAGATCTCTGTACCATGGTCCACTGCTGCATGCATGATTTATAGCAGCCTTTGTTTTGATGACTAAGCCAGAGCACCCTATCTCTGCTAGAAATGAGAGAGATAGGTCTATCCCCCAAAATCAATCAGCAGCAGTATGGAATCTCATGTAGCTGGTCTATTTCACAACTGTGGTAGGATTTTAGTCTGTAGGAAGTTACTGTTTTGTTTGATGTTCCTCACCTGCTAACAGAGTAATAAACATGAAATATTCATATCCAATATTTCATATTAACTTTTTTAATACTTGATAAATAAAAAAGAAATATAATATCCATGCATTCCAATTAAAACGATGTGAAAATATGTTTGTTTTAATTGATAGGACTTGGATGATATGGATGCAGAGATACTTGGATCTAGGAAGCCAAAATCAGCTCCTCCAAAGGGTTCTGGAATGACCCGAAGTACTGCCAGTAACCCAAAAGCTCAAGACAAGACTGGTACTAAAAATGGTAAAACACAAACACAGAAGCATATATGTTTACCATTTTATCCACAGTACTTGACATGTACACCAATGATCTTCAAACCTGGCTAAATCAGCTTCCTAAAACAACCTGTAATGACACAAGGTGGGGTATTTATGTGCAGCTTGAACTAGCATGAAAATCTGTCCTCTTCAATAGTTACTAGTGGTCTGAACATGATATACCACCAGATAATAGAGAATTGTGTACCTGGCATAACGACTGCTGTCACTATCAGATTCTAGACTATAGACGGCAGAAAAGCGAGCATTGGATGTATCACTAAGTACTGTTTTCCTGCCCTCAAAACTCAGTTTGTAATGACCAAATTAGTCCCTTCTCATCCAACCCTAGAAAAACTTCTCTGTCAGTAGACATCTGCTAAATTAATAGCTACCTTTTTATGAGAATTGATTTGCACCGAGACCCTTAAGTTCCAGAAAGCAAAACAAAAATGGCAGGCTATGATCCCCAGCTCACAATGGAGAATTGGTTGGAGATTGAGGACACTTGCGTGTCTTCCCTCATATCTTCCAAACATAAAATCATACAGATAAAGTCTACTACTGAATATATCGCACCCCAGCTTCTCTTCATGTTCTAGGTTTTAGACCGTCTCTGTTATGCTTTTAAGGAATGTGGCAACCGAGCAGATTTGTTTCACTCCTATTGGTCGTGTGTACATATTCATGAATTTTGGTCCGGTATCACCGCCTTTCTTGAAATGGCCAAATAATTGTAACCCCATAATTTGCCTACTGGCCATCTTTAGAAGACTCCCAATCGCCTCACATGCTATATGTCTCCTTAGAATGCTATCCTTTTGGTATGGAAGTAACCCTTACCCCCTTCTTTGGGAGCATGAAAGAAAGTCATAGACAATGCATTGCCCCTATATAAAAATCACATATGATCAAAGATGGTGCCCTGAACAGTTTGATGGTATATGGGGCCCATGGCTTGCTTCCACTTCCTCTGTTCCTGAGTTGCTTTCATTTAATTTGCATATGCCCCTGTTTATTTAACTGTTTTTTTAAGACTGTATTATCAAAACCTAGAATGTATACTCTTATAAAATTCAATTGTTTCTGACAACAGCAATGATAAGAGGTAACAACTGTAAGGTGGTTAGATGTAACAGATTATTGTCAATTTGTTGATTACTTGTTTATATGCAAAAACCAAGAAACATTATCTTTATAAAAAGAGTATTTACGCACAGGGATGGTGGTTTTGGTTAGAATGTGAAGTGCCACAGGTGTGATTTTAGTAGACTATTAAAGGCCATCTCCGGGCAAATTAAAAAAAATGGTTGGAGTAAAGCAGATTTCCTTACCTGATCCCCACTCGCGATGGCTCCCTCAGCACTGCTAGACTGGTCCCTGCAGCCTCTTCTCCACTGGACTGTGGTGGTCTAAGGACTGCTGACATCATCACGTCTACTGCATGTTGTAAAGACTTGCATTAGACATGGAACGGCGAGAAACATTCCACCGGCTGGAGCAGAGGGGAAGGAGAGGAGAGCTCCGACTGCTGGGGGAATGGGGAAGTTCAGGGAAGCAAATCTACTTTACTGCTTTAGACAAAAACAATCACTTAACATTTTCGGTGCAGGGGGAAACCTAGTAAGCTCTTTTACTTATGATGAAACAATAAAAAAATATCATGGTAGCCTCTTTGTTCTTTAAGTTTGAGACATGGCAATTCCATCAATCTCAGTCTAACACAGTCTGGTACCATGGTTAGTCCTTATCTCGTGGTGTTTGTCTGGTACCCCCACAATTTACAACCTGGGAATGTATGTGCTAAGGCTCTGAGAATCGCTGATAGTCTTTGTCCAGAAACCATAAACTCAAATTCATCTTATACAGGCAGTCCCGACTTGCGGACAACCCGTACTTAAGAACCAAGGTCCACAGTTCTCTTAAATGTACCGTCAGCTTCCAGCAGCCGGTACATCACCGACTTACAGACGTCCGACTTACGGACAACCCGTACTTACGAACCGAGGTCCACAGTTCTCTTAAATGTACCGACAGCCTCCAGCTGCCGGTACATTTGGGAGAACTGTGGCTGCAGCGGCCTGTGTCCCTTCAAATCCCCGCTGCTCTCCCTGTCTGTGTTGGCGGGGACACAGACCGCTGCATTCCTCCACTGTCCCCCGTACCTCTGCTGCTGTCCCGGCCGTCAGCGGTCGGACAGGGGGAGCGGTCCGTCAACTCCCCCTGTCCGACCACTGCTTCTCTGCCCCGCCCCCCTGCCTCCTCTTTATCTGCAGGCTGGGAGCCATATCCAGCCCGCTATTGGATATTGTAAAATGCAATAACCAATAGCAGGCTGGCTATTGCACCCGGCCACTGCCTGCTATCAATCAGCATGAGAGGACCTGATAGAGAACTTTCTCCTTCAGTACCCTCCTCTTCTGATTGGCAGTGGGCAGATGCAATAGCCAGCCTGCTATTGTTTATTGCAATTTGAAATATCAAATAACAGGCTGGCTATTGCTCCCAGCATTAAAGGAGAACTATGGGGTCAGTGTTTTCCCCCATAGTTCTCCTTAGGGTAACGGGAGGACACAAACTAGCATCCTCCTGTTACCCTTAGCTCAGTATACCGCGAGCTACAGCTCGCGGTATACTGAGACGCCGTAGCGGATCCCAACGTCGAGATCCGCCCAGCTGCGTGAGTGACAGCTGGCTCTGCCTATCTAGAGGCAGAGCCAGCTGTACCCGCCCCCTCCCCGTCCGTTCCGCCAGTCAGCGCTGGCATATCGGTGCGGGGAGAGGGGAATCCAGCCCCTCCTCCTGTCACGGCAGAGAGCCGTGACAGGATCGAGAGGTGAGCGAACCCGGTATGTGTTCGCTCACCTCCCGATCTACTGAGCCGACCTGTGACAGTCTCATTGTCACAGGTCGGCTAGAACTATGAGGTGAGTGGAAATCACTCATCTCATAGTTCTCCTTTTAAAGTAAAAAAAAAAAAAATAGATAAAAAAAGTTAAATAAAAATGCAAATAAAAAACAAAGTTTATAAAATAAAATTAAAAATAGAAAAACTTTTTTTGGTGTGTCATTTTATATAAAAGTTTTTTTAAATTATATTATAATCTTCTGAACAACGGGAACAGACAGCAAAACAAACGTGACCCTTCCCTATGCTATCCAAAACGAAAAAGAAATGTTTTGGCTGGAGTTGCACTTAAAAAATTTACCTGTTCCAACTTACACACAAATTCAACTTGAGTACAAACCTACAGTCCCTATCTTGTATGTAACCCGGGGACTGCCTGTATACTGATAGAATAGACATAACAAAGATGGCTTCCTAGATGCCCGTGTTACATTATGTAGAGTAATATGTATTGGCCTTATAGTTTGAATATCTTCTAGCCCCAAATAGTTCCAGAAACCCCACAGCACGGGTACAATTTTTTTGTTTGCCTGGTGACAGGCTCTAAATATAAGTAAAGAGACTTAGTAGCTCACTTAGACTAATTTGCCTTGCCTTTATTTGGCTAGGCAGTAGCAGTTGGTTTAGATCTTGTTTTTCTTATGGCAATATAGCTTTAACAGTGTAGTACTGCACATTATATATTAGCTTTTATTGTTCACATGATGAGTTTGATGTTATGTAACCAATGTAGAAGAAATTCTTAGTGCCCCTTAACGTCATACCATAACTTTTCCTATATGGCAGCAAACTTTGCTCCTGAGAGTGAGAAGAAGCCACAGTCTGCCCCCGCAGGCCCAGCCAGACCATATAAGAAATTTTCCTTTGATGGTAAGTAAATGCATCCAGATGTGTGTGCTGAATATAGTAATGAGATAACTGAGTTCTTAATTTGACTTTCCCCTCTGCTTTTTATTGCTGGTCAGAGGATGCCCAGGACGCAGATACTTTATTACGTAAGACATTCCTATATTTTTGAAAAAATATTAAAATAAAAATTGGGGTCACACGCCTGTTTGGGGGGCACTTTTTTTTTTCTTGCCACGTGTGCAAAAGGAGCTGGCTACTGCTATGCTCCCGTGCTGCTCATGCGGCTGCCGGCTGAATGTGTCAGATGGCACAGACGGAAAGGGGCGGGACACCTCTTCCCATGTGCAACGTCGGACACATGAGCACTGCGGGAGGATAGGACGCCGGCACCTCTAGAACGCACTGGAATGCGTTCAGGGGCGGGAGGGGGCGTAGAGTTGCAACGCAGCCATGTCCCCCGCCCACAGTTTGATCGCGCGCACCCGGAACGCAGGCACATTAGTGCCTGCATTCCGGTCCAGTGTGATCTGCAAAAATAGTGCTTGCAGCATTTTTGCAGATAGCACTGGACCGGAACGCAGGCACTAATGTGCCTGGGTTCCGGGTGCAGGCGATCGCACTGTGGGTGAGGGGCCTGGCTGCGGTGCCATTGACTTCAATGCACCGCCACGCCCCTGAACGCAGGTGTTTTTTCGTTGGTAGATATCATTGAGCTCGTCATTTGAAAAATTGTGGGCGCCCCTGTCCTAGTTCAACTTCCAGAAACCTACAATCCAAGTTAGAGAGCCCTTATAATGGGTTATCAGGTCTGTAATGAATTTTCAGGTTTAGGGATGCATCCAGCCAGTTAATACTGGGACAGGCTAATAAGGCAAATTGAAAACTGTCAGTGCAGCTATTTGTTCATGAGTTATCATACAGGAACACGTTTAATGATACAGTACATTGAATGATACATTTGTTATCAGTGGTGCCATCCTTATTGCCTTGTTAAAGTTGTCTGGGCAAGAGTTTTAAAAACAAAAGACTATTGACCATTGTTGATTGTGGTCTCACTGCACCAGGTCTTTTCCCCAAACCATGGCATTGTTTTCTCTGGTTAGAGGGACCCCCTTGATGACTGGTCATCTAATGACTGATTGGGGAATAACAAAGCAGCAGGAGAGGTTTAGAAAGCACATAAATGGGGAGATCATTACACTACAGCTTTCTCTCCAGTAAGGAGAACAGTGAGCAGCACAGTAGTGACATCACCAGATCTCATTTCGGATCTACTGAGAACAGCTACAGACATACAGTCCATTAGATCCCACACTGCAGATATACAGCTTGGAGAATTAAATCTCCAGACAGCTGATTAACTGCTCCTTAATGCCCAGGGGACTGGAGTAAAGCAACTTTACTTACCTGATTCCTGCTCATTGCTTACCTCTCTCTCTTCCCCTCCGGGCTGGTGGAATGTCCCTTGGCACCCTCACATCTAATGCTGGTCTATGGGACCAGCATTATGCGTGATGATGCCAGCCATCCTAAGGCCCCGTTCACATTGAGCGGTTCGCAAATTGCGCGACACACGCGATTTGCATTTTGCGCGAATCGCACGATATTGCGCAAATGCTTGCATTGAGCAAGCTTGAATCGCGGCTAAACAGGACAGGAATGGGCGTGAAGGCACATTCATATGTGAGGACGCACTCAGCTTCTCTTCTAGGGGAATTTATGCCAAAATGTAAACTGTGAAAAGTAAACTGCAAGAGTAGATATTTGGTCTGCACGGAAACGGGCTTGAAGGCAGAGTCATATGTCAGGACGAGCTCTACTTTTCTTCTGGAGGAATTTATGACAAAAGTAAAACAATTTTTTAGAGGAATGCTTTGGCACAATTAACATTTCTAATAATTCCCTATAATATAGCAAAGTTATAGTCCGCTTTAATGTGAACCCGCATAGTAGCAGGTTTGCTTTATAGGAGGGCAGCATCAGCAGGATTACAGTACCATCCACTTGTTCCGCTGCCCGTTGATCAGTGTTGTTGAGACTTCTTCTTGTACACTAAACCTATTACTTTGCCAAGTATCGGTTCACTTTAACCTAACCCCAAGGCTACCCTTCAACCATAATGCTTACATCACCTTAAATTTAACACTCACTTTTTTTCCCCCCTAAGTTTAAAGTGTATTTCCACTTTTACAGTAACATTTGAGAAAACATCAATATATGTATGTTATGTGTTCCCATTCACACAGCAAAATGAAAAATATAAAAGAAAACAAAATCTTTACCTTTTTAGACTTTTAGATGTTTTGTTGCAGCAGGCAAAATGGCTGAATGCCGGTTTTTCTGAATACAGTGATCTGTCCTTATACAAAGAAATTTGAGGATTCTGTTTCTCTCATTAACATACAAGCTAGGGTTGTAATCCTTTAAACCTTTGTTAGTACAGGCACTGTTCAAATCTACTATACAAATTATAATGAACATACCCCTACTAACATTAAAAAGGAGAAGCAAGTAGACATGTTAACCCTTAAGAAGACAAGAAACCCTAATCCACCTTATGCTATGTGAATGGGAACATGTAAAAAATACAAAATAGGTGTAATCCCAATTTGGCGGTGAATGTGGAAATACACTATTGGGACTAAATCCTCCCTGTACTGTATCAAAAAGAAGCACCTTTGCAATGCTAGTACCAAAACTAACCGATTTGAACATTTATTGTGAGATAGTATCTTTTAAATGCATATTTTATTCATATGATTTACAATGAATTAAAGAATTATGAGCCTTAGTTACACTAAAGCTGGCCATACACCTATAGATTATCTGCAGAGTTTCTATGGTCAGATGGAAAAAGTGCAACAGATTCATCTACGCTATGTGTATCTAAGGACACATGCAGATCTATTTAGTATGACAGTGCAAAGCACAGTGATGATGTGCTAATCATTTGAGTTGATAGGGTGGTAATTCCATCACTGTTCTTTCATGGGTTCATATAATTTGTCGTTTTGTTTTGTTTTTTATGTATGTTCTCTTTTTTTGGATTAAAGCTCTAAATGACCCATTTGAAGGTCTTTTGTCTGATGAAGATACTGGACTTCATAAGAAGTCAAAAGCTGCACGTGCCAAATCCGAATCTACCCCAGTAAAAACGGAACCTGTATCAGCAAAGACCAACGGTAAGGAATTTGCAGAATTAATAACGTAGCAGGGGAACTACCAAACCCTGTTTAGGAAACCTTTTTCTATCTGCCTGTTGCATGTAATTTCCCTAGGAATGATTTCCTGTTTATCTGCCTCTGTGATAACGCATAAGGATAATGCAAAATGACAATATAAAAGCAAAAGATTTCCAAAGTGACTTTTTCTGTTTAAATGTAGGAAATAAATGAAAAGACTGATACAGAAAGATAAGCATAGCCAATATTGACTCTCTGACACATATTAAAGTTGAACGCTAGGGAAAATACACAAAGGAAATGCCTGTATAGGGGCTCGTTTACCTGCCAAGGGATATGTATGTCTGTTTGTACTCACAGGTCTTTGTGGCACAACTGGCGACCTTTTCCTCCATCCTCTTAGGACACTAGTAGAAAAAATATTTGTATGTGTCCCTTAATAGACAAAGAATAATTATTTTTGGAAAGGAAAAACTCTGCAAGTAAGCGTGTGACTGGACAGTGAAAGTAGAAGCAGTAGACTAATGAGCGAGCGGGAAATGGCAGCAATTTAAAAACGGGCAGCTCACCCCTCTGTCAACTTGCTATCTTCTAATAACAGCATGTTTGTTGGTAGCATATGAGAACTGCAGCACTTGTCGAACTGCCTAACATGTTGTGTGTGAATAACTATAAATCCTTTTTTTTTCTTCATATTACAAATTTAAGAACATAAACTTCCTAGTTAGCAGGATAACCACTCCAAAACTCTTATTTCAAATTCCAGACAACATTTGGAACGTCGGGTGCTGACCATGCCAGCTCATCTCAGATCCAAAAGCTCTGTAAAAGAACAGATGGTCACATTTCCATTATCATCACTCGGCAAAGATTTATTGTAAAATAAAATATTCCAAACAAGTCCGTGTTGCGATCCCCAACTATACGCCACCCTCTAAATGTTTCACTCACCAGGGCTTCATCATAGAGTTCTCTAGGTGAAACACGTTAGAGGGCAGTGTTTAGGTAAGGTTTGCAACATGGACTTGTTAAGGGATGTTCAGATTAGACATGTGCGATTCGTTTCGTTCCGAATCGAAATTCGGACGAATTTTCGGAAATTCGGACATTCGGATGTATCCGAATTCCGAATTACAGACATAACGAATGCAAACGAATCCGAATTTCCATTTCTGAAATTCGGTAGCGTTAGTACGAACGTTCGTTTCGTTTTCTGTTCTTATTCGTTTCTTATTCGTTTCGTTCGTTGGAGCAAAGTGACATTAGAGAAGGAGAAAAATATTTTTCCCCCCTCAAATGTCACGAACGAACGAATAAGAAACTAATAAGAAACTAATAAGAACAGAAAACGAAACGAACGTTCGACCTACCGCTACCGAATTTCGTCCGAATTCCGAATCCGAATTGACGAATCCGAATTGACTCAGCAAATAATGTGGAATTGTTCAAGAAACTTTTGGACGATTTCTTAAGGGACCGTAATATACAGGGGTACGGGTACTCCTAGAATGAGATCCTAATAGGTTGGACTTGATGGACTAATGTCTTTATTCAACCTCAAATACTATGTAACTATGTAACTTTCACACCCGAATCCCGAAAAACGAAATAACACAAATCCGAATTTAAAACGAAACGAAACAAATTTTTTGGCAGTGCACATGTCTAGTTCAGATATCAAATACTCTACTTGGTACAAGTACAGATACTTTTCCAGCTCCAGGACTAGACTAGAGAAAAATTTAGGAGGCAGCTGTCATTATTAAGGAGCATACAGAGCTCCTGGGATTTGTGCATCCCCATTGTAATGCATTATTTTTGTTGTTATAAATATATATAAAGAGATGCACCGATACCATATTTCCCAAAGTACAAGTACTGATACTTGTCCGAGTACTCACAGATACAAGTACTGATACATTTTTGTTTATTGTCATGTGACAGTTTTTCTAAAACAATACAGACTAATGATTTCAGGACAGTGGTGGAGCCCAAGAGCCAGGTCCCAGCTGCAACCCTCGTGAAAATGCCAAGTATCGGCAATGGTATCTGAACATCACTACATCGTGTTGATTTTATATAAACCTTTAATGATTGATGATTCAGGAGATGCAAGTGTCTGTTCTTTTGACAACACTGAGTGGCCAGATTATTATGACCACCTGACGTTTGTAGGCAAATTTAGCTATGATTTCACACTGAAGTTGCTAGAGGGCCAGATCTTGCCAGGAAAGGGGTCTAAACACCTGGTCTTGAAGTGGTTAATATGTGTGGAACAACGTCTGAATAGCACAACATGCCAAAGTATCGTTGCTGATCAAGTTCATCCTATCATGTTGATGGCGTATCCCAATGGAGATGGCTTCTTCCAACAAGACAATGCGCCATGCCACAGTGCTCGTATTGTGCAGTACTGGTTTCAAGAACATGAGGGAGGCTTTACCTTGCTTAGGTGGCCCCCACAATCACCAGATCTCAATCCAATTAAGCATTTGTTGGAACGAAGTTGAAAGAGCCATCAGGCAGCTGGTTCCACAACCATCAAATCTCACAGAACTGGACAGTGCTACTCATCAGGCATGGTGTCAGATTCTTCGCATCACCTTTCAACATCTCGTGGAGTCAATGCCAAGAAGAATCGCCGCAGTATTGAAGGAAAAAGGTGGCCCAACGAAGTACTGATGCGGTGGTCATAATAATCTGGCCACTCAGTGTGTGTGTGTATATATGTGTGTGTGTGTGTATCTATCTATCTATCTATCGATGGATACAGATAGATTTTTTTTTATTTTTTTTTAGTATATATAATTCTAATGATGGGTGTTATTTGGCAATATTTGTCATTCTTTCTTGTGTTTTGAATGACATTATGCAGACCCGCCAGTCATTAGCCCAACAAGAACCCAAGCCAGACCTCACCCAGTGACTCGAAAGAAGGATGATCTGAACTTTGAAGAGGATGCAGATGATCTCATGGATGCTTTGGGATTTGGTGATGGACCACAAAGTTCTCGGACAGTAGAAAGGTAAGAATAAGGGGAAGTCATACATTAGAAATGCAGGACCAAAAAAAGGACTAAGCCTTCAAACACTGGCGTAGTTTCCCCTGATGCACATTTTCTTGTTTAAATAAACTCAACAGTTAGAAGACGCAGAGGCCAATACTGCATGTGAACAGTGCTCCAGTGCAGGAATGCCAGGCAGCCATCAGAATGCTGTCTGCATTTTTGATCTGGAACACTATTTAGCAAATTGATGGGTTCGGGGTTCAGATTATGTAGTGTCTTTAAAAGCAGGTGAGGTGAGTAATGCAACAGAGGAAATTAAAACATCTTAGGTAATTACTACTTTATTATTTCTCTATAGCCTAAAATATAGAAGGGGGCCTGTGTTGTCATGGTCCTATTGCTATAAGGTACCTGCTTGGGTATCTGGTGTGCAGAGATGGTTTCTCTGAAGATGGGTGGGGGCACACGTTTATATTTTTTAAATACTGCAGATCTGTAAATTCTAAACCTGAGAACATGCATAGTTTTCCATACTTAATGCAGAGAAAATTTTTGATTTTGTACTCATCTCCTAATTGCCTTTTTATGGCTGACAATTGATCTTTTGTGTATTTCTACCAATATGAAGTTTTTTTTAAAGTGCATTCCATTAAAGCTGAAGTAATGTGACGCAAATAAACATTTCTAGAGTTAGGGATTTTTGTCAGAAGAGACATGCAAAGGCTCTTCCACCCAAAAAAAAATCTTCCTCTCTCCACCAGCCGGGGAGGATGTAACTCCTGTGTGCATGCACACTGTTACTCTTGTGAAAAGGGGGAAACCCCACCCTTTACGTAGCAGTTTACTACTGCTTTAAATGCTGGTATTGTAAAGGACAACGTGCCCTCTCTTTGTGCCAGAGATACCCTCTGCATCTGTCTGCTGGTCCTGTTCCGAATTGAATGGAAGCCAGTACAATCTAACCTACTTCCTGTGAGCCCAAGCTGTCACTGACACACCCTCTGTGGGTGCGTCATCATGCATCCTAAGCTCACAGTACTCCTGGACTGAGCAGTACTCGCACTTCATTATGCGAGTGTCTCTCAGTCTATATGCAAGGGCTCTCTGCTCCTGGAGTAGAAGGATAGCCTGACATGTCATCAGTCTGGTTAAAAGCCTGCAAGATTAAAAGTACATATACAGCAATTTAAATGAATAAAAATGGCTTTGTGGAGCGAATTGGGAGAACAAGAAGTGGTGGTGGGGGGGATAGGCTCGAGCTCTGGTTTGATTGTGTTAGGCAGTAAAATAGGATTTTTTTAAATTTCCCAGCTCTATTCTGAAGCCTGCACGATCCAAACTGGATGAACTATTAGGAAGGGGAACTTCACCTAAGCTGCTGGAGAGGCCTGCCACTGGTGACAAAAAAGAATTCAAATTGGATCCCAAGTACCAGAATATGCCAGGTGAGCCATGCTCCTTTTTTGTTTTTGTTGTTATATGATGCACTAGAACAGAGTGTAATTAGGGCTTTATATTTGACAGAAAAAGAGAATCCACTGAGCGATGAAGACTTTGCTTTTGGTTCCTACCAACCCACAATAGCCATGAGCCCTGAAGGACGCCCATCTCGCCGTTCATCAGTCAGGTACTATAAATACCGTAGAAAGTCTCAAGCGCACTCAGATGGAAGGGGACAGGTAGTGTAGCTAGTGGTGTGCGCCAGAGCCGTAGCTAGGTCATTTTGTTCCCGAGGCAAGAACAGAAAAGAGGAGGGACCCCCCCAAGACTCCCCCCGGGCCAGCTTCAGCACTCCATTTCTCATTGGATCCCCGCGCTGCCTCTGCCTATACAGACGGGGAGAGCAGCGGGGATCCGAGGAGAAGCTGGAGCCTGTGCCGCTCCTCTTTCCCCTGCCAAGCCCCGGCTGTGTTGGCTCGCCATGGCAACAGGGGCGAGGGGGTGATGCGAGTGAAGCACTCGCCTCATGTTAGCTATGGCCCTGGTGTGCGGCTCCAAGTAAGCAGGTACAGGTATACTGTGTGGTAACTGTAAGAAAGAGATAAAACACAAGAGCACCACCACCTAGCACAATAAATGGGGGATATGAAAATATGACAGAAAAATTAAATGGCACACAGGGTGCTGGTGTAAAAGCTCAAAACAACAAATTGTCCGTGAAGACGACTCCGTCAGTGTCCAGAGGTAGAATTACATATTCAATGGAGAAGGCAGCTTATCTGGCAATAAAACACAAATGACGACCAGTACACCGTACGTGGGAAACTGTGACAGTATTGGAAATAGGAGTAAGAGAAGAAATGCACTCACACTGGTATGTCTTGGGGAGGAAAAGACCATCAATACTGCTGAGGCACTCATCTGGTGGTCTGTAATCTTATGGAGAGCTGTAACTTCAGGTGCTGTCAGCAGGATACAGTGGCAGTAGTAGGTATGTAGAACCTCAGCCAGGCCTCAGGAAGGAGAGCATTACAGTGCCCATTTGCAGCGATGTTCAAACTGAGAGTGTCCAAGCAGAGTGGTAACTGGCCAGCAGGGAATCTGGTGGACTGGAGAGCTTCAGGTAGCTCACAGGATGCAGTGGTGTCAATGCTCAGTGAGAAGGGAGCCAGCTCACAGAAGGTCACAAGAAGCACAAGCAGAGTGGGAAGGTAGATGCTGGTTATGTTGATTAGTGGCTCAGTATGAGGTAGGGCAATGGCAACGCGTTTCGAGGATACAACCTCTTTTTCAAGCTAGGGGTAGGAGTGAAGATCAGTCCAATGACATCTGACCCAATGATGTCATCACTGCATCTCTTTTCTTCTCTTTGCAATGCAGGCTCCTCGTGGCTGGTGAGGGGGCATAGCTCACTGATAACATCACAGTACCTTCCTCAGTACTCCTCTGGAGAGCTCTCAGCCCTTATGCAAGCAGTGGAGTATACAGTGTCAGTTCGGAGAGGTAGATGTGCCTAGGCAGACTGCATGTAGACTGCCCTGTGTAATACCTACATGTGATGCTGAGCCTCCATGATTTAAAGAACTACAATACAATACATTGAAAGGGGCAGGCCAGGTACAGTTGGGCTAGTGGTAGTTGATGCTGGATGTCCTCCAGCCAGGAAATGAGGCAGACTCTGCTGCAGCTTCTAATGCACATGGTGAGAAGCTTGGTGTGTAGCAAAATCAGAGAAAGCTAATTCAGTCCAGGAGAGGCGGCTGTACAACTGTGCAGGACTGAAGGTAAGGCTGGAGTTCAGCTTTAATAACTTTATTAAACAATTTGCCATGAGTACGGGGCTACACATCACAAAGAGGCGTGTAGGGGATGTTTCAGTGACAGTTTTGCATGGGCTTGGTTCACACCAAGCCTCCACATATCACTAGCTATGAGGTGTTACCAACCAATGGCCAATGGCAAACCCATGCAAAAGGCAAATCTTATTGGTTGCTGCATTTAATGAGTCTGTTGGGGCTCCTTTTATCTCTGCATTTTTTCTTTTGATTAACAAACAGATTTTCTGGCGATGGGAATGAAAACTTGAAATCTGAGGCAAGGTCGCTCACTACCACCCCAGTTGCTCGCAGTCCAGCTCATGGTGCAATGACTGGGGCTGATTGGTTGGGACTTAAAGATGATGATGTACCAGATCTGTCTCCTTCAATTCCTTTAAAAGAACCACCCCAGGCTTCCGTTGCAACACTACGATCTGCTGGACGTCCTCCACCTGGAATAAAAACGGATATTATAACCTCTCCTCAGCCAAGAACCAGCCAGACTACACCCCAGTCAAAGGCCAATCAGGCTACACCACCGCCAAGAGCCATTGAGACTACGCCTGTGCCAAGAGTTGGTGAGCCAACACCTCAGCCAAGGGGCACCAGTTCTGAGACTCCTACTGTCCCCCAAGAGGAAGATGAGTGGCTGCTTTCTGCCTTGGCTCGTAAGAAAGCCCAGAAGCAAGAGAAGGTAGAAGAACAAACAGGGCAGACTCAAAATGGACTAAAAGAGGATTCTGGAAGGGGGTTAGTATTCTTACCATATACATAAATGAAAGTATGTCTAAAGCCAAAAGTTTAAAAAGGGAGTTAAAATCTTTTTTTTTTTTTTACCATCTGTGTCCCATTAGGGAGATTTCCCTCCATTTTCTGTCCCATGGACAAAAAAGAAAGTGCGGTGAGATCAAAAGGGGAGGGAAATCCATTCAGGGATGAGTCATTTCCAGTTAAGGATTCAACTTAAGTCCCTCTGTGATAGTAGAAATAAAGTTAAGTTAAAAAAAGTTTACAAAAAATGTAAAGTGGTGGGGCCACACACATACAAATATAAAGGTATACCGAGGACGTACATAAGCAACAACTGTGCAACACATATTGGGTATTGCTGTTCATACCAGAGTGATGGGAATGATTCTAGGGTCGTTGTTTTCAATTACAGTGGACCTTTACCCCCTTCACTATAAATCATATCAGCATGCACCTCTGCATTAGGGCCCATTTACAGTACATCTATGCACTAACTTGGGTTATGGCAGTCCATTTATTTTTATTGGGCTGCCAATGCACCCCAGCATGGGAAAAAAATGACTCAGCCCTTTTTTTGTAAAATACTACTGTATATTGTTGTGTGCTGCAATGCAGACGCATTGCCTTAGTGCATAGGGGTGCCATTCAAAATGAAAAGTACAGCAAAACACCAACACACGTTATGTGCTTTACCACAACACAGAAATGAGAATAAACTCTTAGGCCCTTTTCACAGGGGTGGTCCGATCGAGTCCACCTGTCAGTTTTGCTGGCCAACCCGATCAGATGCCTAATGCTAGTCTATGGGCAGCTGAGTCTAACCGATTCCAGCCAGGTCTGGAAAAACAAATGGAACAGTGTTCGTTTCAACAGATCTGATTTGGGTTAATCTGATGTAAAGGGACACATGTCCGTTTACATCCGATTCCCCATGGGGTCCAGTCATTTCAGTTTGACGGACACGGATTTAACAGCGGTGATATCTGATCCATACCGCTCCAATCTGGAGGGGATCCATTCACGGAATGTGAAAGGGGCCTAAGAAATCAACAGCAGAATTGAATATGTGTGTTGTGTAATGATTATGTAAAATTTGTTGCAACTTCTCTTTTCAGAGCCCCAGTTGTATCAGTAAGTACTGCTCAGCAGTATGGTCCTAGCAGCACAGTTAGAGGTGACGTACCAGCTACAACAGAAGTATCTCGGTGTGTATTACTGTGTGTATTTGTTTTTACTAAGCTATTAATCTTCACCATGTAAACTCATTTTTTCATGTTCACTTCTCTACATAGGAGCCCTCTACCTTGGGAAAGTCCTAGAAAAGTAACTCCTTCCGGGAATTCTTCCACTAATCCTGCAATTCCAAAACAGAAGGGAAATCGTGAGACAGGTACACTTCTTTATCCTAAAGAAGCTAAAGGGCCAGGAGATTCAACTTGCTTTTCGATCTACGTCACATTTATATAAATTATTTTTGTGAGCTTTTCAGAATAACAATGTCAATTTCCTGTTGGTTATGCCACATCTGCCAACTGCCTCAGGAAAGCCTCGATCCAAGCAATTCCATGAAACACATTGTGAAATAAAATACAGTGTTAAAACCCAACTAAACGCTTTTAATGTATTGCTGTAATGCAATCGGGCTGCATGTATAGTAATAAATGTGCTTCTTTTTTTATACTGCTAAGTGCTGCAGCAATAGTTAAACCTGTGGACCCCACCTCTCTCACATCCAGATCTGCTGCAATCGGACATACCCGACTAAACACTGCTGTATTTAACATTGTTCCCAGTCTCAGCAGAGCTGTTGATTTCAGCAGTGTTAAGAGGAAGTTGGGTAAGAACAGCAATCTGACTCTTCTAGTGCTGCCAGCACAATGTTTTTTAACATAGTCCACATTCCCACCTAGGCGTACCAGGAACAAGTGTTGTGTTCTCATGCATTCGTGCGTGTTTCGTTCCCATGTTTGGCGCTAAGGATGCACCGATACCGTTTTTTCAGTACCGATATTTTTTTTATTGGTACTCGCCGAAACCAAATACCGATACCGGAAGTCCCATTAAGGAAGTCAGGTGGCGTGCAATGACTCGCCACCTGGCTTCCTGATTAGCTGGGCAGCGTGTAAAGACTCACCACCTGGCTTCCCGATTAGCACGGAAGCTGCCTCCATGCTACCTCATCACCAGGTGATGTAGAAGAATGAGACCAGCTTCTCTACCAATCAGGAAGCCAGGCAGCAAGTCATTACACGGCACCCGACTTCCTGATTGACCAGGAAGCCGGTTCCAGCCCCCTTGTCACCAGGTGACGAGGAAGCATGAAGCCGGCTTTCTGGCAAATCGGGAAGCCTGGGGGCGTGTAATGACTCGCCGTCCGGCTTCCTGTTTGGCCAGCTTTCCGACCAATCGGGAAGCTAGGCGGTGATTCATTACATAGTCCACATTCACAGCTAGGTGTACCAGGAACAAGTGTCGTGTTACACCAAGTGATGAGGGAGCATGGAGCCGGCTTCCCGGCCAATCAGGAAGCCAGGCAGCATGTAGTGACTCGCTGCCCGGCTTACTAAAACTACTCGCCCAAATACTGGGTATCGAGTATCGGTATCAGTGCAACCCTATTTTCTGCATGTACACATTGGTTTTAGTGCGTTCCTGCACACGAAACAAACATGGGAATGTAGTGCATGTAGCCAAATCTGCTAATTTGCCCGGCCATGTTTGAGGTGCCATTAACTGGTAATGGCATAGAAAGCATGTTTCGCGAACAAGCGTCAAAGTGCACATTTTTGTGCGTGTTTGCCACGTGTTCACGGAACGCTCAGGTATGAATGGGAGCTTATTGCAGTACTCAGCAGATAGAAAAGAGGCATAGTCACTACTGTATTTGCATGCTGACTGCATATGGCACTTTAACACATCTATACGATTAAAATACTGATACTAGGGATAGTTATTCCGTTTTAGAAATATATTTGATCTAACTTGTGATATGTTTAGTAATCTATGCATTCTTTTTTTATAGTTTCTTTAGCTGGACCTTCAGATTTTCGCAGAGACCAAATTCAGGTGTGTCCACATTGTACTTTTATTTTTGCTGGTTTTGAAGGTTTTTTGTTATTGAAGCTTGGACAGAATTTTTGTTGTCGCACACTTCAGCTTAAAAATGTCAGTCTGAAGAGTATTGTGCATAGGAAACATTTACAAAGCTTTCAGTCAGCTTCGAGCAGCTTTCTTGAAGCACCAATATGTCGATCTTAAACATTGATATCACTGGCTATCTCGTTAGAAAAGCTCAGAGATCAGTGGGACCTCACGTCACAGAAGTGACTTGTTGTGGAAGTTTGGCTTCACATGTATTTGCAAATACATGCAACAAAAACCTCAATTTTTACCAACTTCGCAACTGGAGCAATTTTTACATTTTTGCACACACTTGTTAAAATCTGATTTTATGGCTAGACTGCTTCAAACCCCCCAGGCAATTATTTATTTTCTGAACGCATTAGCCCTGTAGAATGAAAACTACAGTCGAAATGTTTATGTTGCATGTTATTTGCACAAATGTTTATCAAATGAATTCTTTTAGCGAAGCAAATACACTTCAATGGGCAGAATGTATTAAAACTGGAGCAGCTGTGCATGGCAACTAATCATCTACTCTCTTCATTTTCAAAGCATAACTGAACAAGCAGACGATACAAGCTGATTGGTTGCCATTTGCAACTGCTCCAGATTCTCTCTGCTCTAGTCTCAATAAATTCCCTTCAATTAATTTTAGTGCACACAACACAATATATACCCATTTTTCTGTAAAATCTAACAGATTGGGTTTGCGTTAACAAATTGTTGAGTGCGTTTGTCGTTTGTTTTGCTTTTTATTTACTCGACGTGACCCCGTCTCTTATATTTTACCAACAAATTGGGTAATAATAAATGTTTTATCATTTAATATAGGGGAAACTGTTTTTTTTAATAACATTTCGGTAATTTTTCCTTTAATATAGTAAAAAAATAAAAACCCCAGTGGTGAATAAATACCACCAAAAGAAAGCTCTATCTGTCCCCAAAAAAGGGTATAAAATTCATTTCAGTACAGCGGTGCATGACGGAATAAATGTCAGTCAAAGTACCGCAGCGCTGAATACTGAAAAATGGCCTGGATGGGAAGGGGGTTTAACACCGCGGATGTCAACTGGTTAAAGACTCAAATGGCCTTGTTCTTCTGAAGAACCCAGCAATACTGCTTAGACAAATTACTCTTTTCTGTCTTTTTGCAGCTTGTTCCTGCCGTGTCCAAAGCACTAGACAAGGACTCCCAAAGGGAGATGCTGCAGTTACAGAGCAGGATATTGGATCTGGAGGCCCAGGTATTAATTCAGGTGTAAATTCACAATTTTGTGTATTTCTAGAAGAAGGAGGGCTAACATATTTTTTTCTATTGATTACAGATCAGAAAGCTTCAGCTACAGAAGGACCAGCAAAATATGTTGTTAGAAACACTACAACAAAGACACAAAGAAGATCTTGAGCTCATAGAGAATGCACAAAGGTATAGCACAAGAAACGAATGGCCTTATCCACAAAACTATGCACGCTGTAAAGTGTAGAAACCAACAGCAACCAATCAGAGCTCACATTGCTGAGATCAAACCTCCACAAGATTCAATGTGATAGGTTGCGATGTGTACTGCACTTTGCTCCTAGCACGTTTATTGAATAAGTCTTTGATATTTAAGGGGAACTAGAATGGTTTGTGGTCTATTTTTAATTTGTTTTTAAACTGATTGAGATATACAGTAGTACAGATCTGGTCCAGAAAATGGTGCTCGCAGTTCCAGTGCATTCCAGACCAGACAAAATGAGACATGCAGTATTTTTTTGTTCTGGAACGGACTGCGCTGGTGTGAACAGAGGCAAGAAATGGCATAGGTATCCATTAGGATGCATTTTGGGTCCGGAAACAGTCTGGTCTGGAGATGATCTGGATGTGGTGTGAATGGGCCCTCAATGTTGACGATTAATACTTCCATGTTTCAGATAATTTTCTTACATTGTTACATTTTTGCACCCATTATATGCAGAAATCGCTTGAAGCTAGTAGAGGATTCTGCCCGTCAAAGGGAGGAACGCATACAGAAAGAGAACCAGGAGCTTTCTTTACAATACCTTGCCCGCTGCCAGAGTGCAGAAAGTGAGAAAGCTGAACTATTCGCTCAGTATCAGCGTAAGCTGACAGAGTTCCAGCAGGAGAAGGACAAAGAGATAGAACGTATCAGGGAGCTGCAGAGGTGAGTAGCCAGGCTTGGAATTATCTGTTTCCTATCTGGTGTGATACTTATCAGCATGGTTTGATATGTCCTCCTTCCTGCAGGCTGTCTGTCCAGGAAATGTGCAAAGACCACGAAGAGCAGCTGCAGCGACTAAAACGGCTGAAAGAGCAGGAAATTGATGCAGTGACCAGCGCTTCATCACAGACGAGGTTAACTGGTGCTGCTTCTTGACAAATCTTGTGCAGAATTGCACTTTCACTTCTCATGCTGGTTGTGTTCTTCTTTAGATAAGGGGTATAGCCAGTCTCTTCTGGACCCTAATGTAAAATGACAAGGCCTCATTGTTAACATTTACCTCACACCAAGGTGCCTCACACAGTGTGATTAACTTGTTGAGTGTCTGACATACCAAGCTATCCACTAGAAAAGACGTGTTAACTCCCCAAATATACAAAACTTACCTCCTCCGGTAGCTTCATTTCCCAATAGTTTCCTTCAGTTGGCTGTTCGTGACTTCACATTGACAATGCCAGTGGATGTTCTAGTAGTCCTAGTAAGCCTTAGTATTCAAGGTACTTGGAGAGTAGCTATCTAGCTCTACAATGTAAAACTGCAAGCCATTCTGTGCTCATTGACCTATCAATAACTTGCATACATGAGTCACAGACACTTGGTTACTAAAGGCCCACTAACATTTGGATATCTGTCTTCTGTGGCTGAAATATGCAAGGCTGCTACCTGATCATTGGTTCACACAGTTTTTTTACTGTTAAAGGAAATTTTATTTGGAAGGTCTTGCAAGCAACAACTATGGTTTGTCTTTCTCAGACCCAGATTCATTTTTCACTACAAGGATTTTGGACCATGCAGCCGCTCTAGGTGTCTGCTATGTTTACCATGAGCAATACGAAATGGGGAAATCCAGCAATCCTTGGTTTTTGCACTATTTTACTAAATAAAGCCCGTAGAAACCATTACTATGATGGTCAATCTTAACCTGACTTCATATTAGTTGCATATGATTAAAGTGTGTGTAAAGCCAACATTTGTTTTGAATAGAATAATGACCCATTAAGACACCTGGCAGTTTTTTACCTGCCTGTTTCCTGCCTCTTGTCCAAGAGACTCAACAAGGGAGATCTCTCTAAAGCAACTGGATACCCCCTATTAGACTTATGACCAAAACGGGTTTACCCATTGAAAGGTTTACCGTAACCTTTTGTTCCTACAACAACTCAAAATTTTGGGTTTGTCATCATGTTCTGTACCGGAAACAGTGGCCCCAGGAGAGGAGGTGAATCTCGCCAGCAGGGATGTATTTTATTGACTTTAGATTGACATTTTAATTTAATAAGTAAGTAAAAATGTTTTTCTTTATGGTAATCACTTTTATGTGGTTTTTCTCAGGTCGTTAAATGGAGTTATTGAACAGATGGAGGCTTTCTCTCATAAGCTGAGCGATCTATCCGTGCGAGTGGAGAACACCCAGATGAACACTTCCCAGGAGATGGAACTTGGAGCACGGCAGAGGGAGGGACAGCTTCGAGGTATACCTTCCATAGATCATATAACCAATATTCACCATACACTGTTATCTGGGAACGTAAAATTCGAATTCCTTTGAAGCATTTCTCAAGGCTTTCATCTTTGCTAGCACAAGCCCAAGTGTCCCTGTTTTCTGATTCAGCACTACAGGAGCGTTTGACACGGCAGCAGAAAGACATGGAAGAGGAACGGAACAGCTTGCGTATGATCATCACCAATATGGAGACTCGCTTGAGTGAGCAGAGTCGCCTGCTGGAACAGGTAGAAATGGCATTTTTGTGTCTGGTCACTATTGTTCTCTTCACTGCTTGTGCTATACATGGGCTTAACAACACTATTTAAACAGGAACGTTGGAGAGTGTCTGCAGAACAGGCCAAAATGGACTCGATACAGCGTTCTCTAGAGGAACAAAAAAGAATAATGACCCAACAAATAGCCCAGGAGAGAGAAGAACTGGAAAATGCAAAGGTTGGAAAATATCTTGTTACCTGGATGATATATATAGTTAGGGATATCTCAATACCAATAATAGTACTAATACTTGCCCTTTCACAACAGTGACAGGTTTTGTTTTCTACAGTATACCTTTAAAGCATCAATCTATCCAGATTCTTTTTTCTACTAGGGACTCTGTTGGTGAAAATTCTGTGCTTGATCCAAAGTAATGCCAAGCTCCAACCATAACCTTTTTTTGTTTTTAATCCTACTTTAGTATCGAGGCATTAGAAATGGCTATGAGGAGTCTTCTGCTTGGTGACCACTTGCTTGGGTGATCTCTCCAACAGGAATATAGACAACAAAACAAACCTGACAAAGGTTCTAACCTTTCTCCCCAATTAAGATTATGCATACTTTTTCCCTGGCGGCCATACAGGAAATTAAGGAAAATCTCCCTAATGGAGATAGAAACAAAAATCTGACCAGGGTTCTATCTCTTGCCAACACTACTCAAGGCTAAACACATTCAAAGCAGAACTCAAGACAAACATTTTTAATTAAAACATGCTGTGCTGTCTAACTCTCATTAGGTGTATGCCCCTTGCAGAACAGTGCCTCTGCTTTCAGAAAACATGTGATATTTTGAAGGTTTTAAGTAATCTTCAGGCATAAATGTGATTTTTAACATGTGTGCAAAAATGAAGGGAAAGGCAAAGAAAAAAAGGCTCTGGCAGAAAAAAGGTTAAAGAGTAACTCCAGCTTGTAAAAACAAATGTATATTAAAGTTTGTGGCTTTTTATTTTGTTCTGGTCATAACATTTTTTATTAAGTATAATTAGTGATGCACCGATACTAGTATCGGTATCTATGCTGATACCAAGTATTTCAGCGTACTCGCCCAAATGCTCCAATGCCTAGCCCGATACCCAAACTTCCCGTATCAGGAAGCCGGGCAGCGAGTCATTACATGCTGCCCGGCTTCCTGATTGGGCGGGAAGCCGGCTCCATGCTCCCTCGTCACTTGGTAACGAAGGACCATAGAGCCGGCTTCCCAGCCAATCAGGAAGCCAGGCAGCGTGTAATGACTCACCGCCTAGCTTCCTGATTGGTCGGAAGATAGCCAATGAGGAAGCTGGACTGCGAGCTATTACCCGCTCCCCGGCTTCCTGATTGGTCAGAAAGCCGGCTCCACGCTTCTTCATCACCTGGTGACGAGGAAGCGTGGAGGTGGTTTGCCTGCTAATCGGGTAGCTGGGTGGCGAGTCTTTACACACCGCCCAGCTTCCTGGCTAATCAGGAAGCCAGGTGGCGAGTCAGTGCATGCTGCCTGGCTTCCTTAATGGGTACTTCCAGTTTCGGTATCGGCAAGTACCGGAAAAAAAATATCGGTACTCCGTACTCGATACCGATAAATCGCTATTGGTGCATGCCTGAGTATAATAATATTTTTTTTTATTAAATCTAAAAAAAAAAACTAACTCAACAGGCTTGTAGCATAATACTGTAAATGGCTTTTAATACGACATGCTAATTAAACCATTTTGTGCTTTGTCCAAAGCTGTCTTCATTTGACCTTTGCTATGCCCCAACAGTACAATATTCCTGTTCACAAATAATAGGTGTGGCAAAGATGACTTGTGCCTTTTACTGACAAAATATATCTGTCATAATAGGTTTGAGTCAGTGGGTCAAGGACAATATTGGAATCAATTTAATATATAACACATTCTAAAGTGTTCCCAGCTGCATTCTTTGTGACAGTGAACTCCAGTATTATTGTCAAGATTAAGTAGATAGCATATGGCTCGGCCTTTCCAATAAAACCGGTAGAATTCACTCCATAACAATGTTTAATGACCTGAAATATTTAGACCTGCTTTTCCATTAACATAGTTCTGCGGTGTGCTCCATATAACGATAAACCATATAGTGTTAATGTTACGCACTTGTAGACTGCTTTCCTTTGTTTATAATGAAGGTGATTTATGTCTTTTACTGTGTGCCAGCAGTCCATTTACACATGAGGGACCAACAATGTATACACGACCTAACCTATATATTGGCTGGCAGATGCACATGCCAGTGTAACCATAACACCGCTGCAAATATGTGGCATCGGAAGACCTGAGTCAATTTATTTTTATATGGTGGCAGAAGGTACCTATAAATGTGGAATGTGTTTATGTAAAGTAGTATGGGGAAATATATTTTATAGACCTTCCAGGATTTCTGTAAAAACTGTCACGTGACACAGCTGTGTTTTGTACTTTGGTAGTAAAAATAACATTCTTCTGTATTTCTTCAAACTATTACTTTCACTTATGAATTATTTTATCATTATTACTGCAACTGCCATTACAAACATGTCTTTCCTTGCTACAAGGAGTTTAGCTAAGTATATTTAAAGTAAAAATAAAATTTTGTTAAATAATTTTTCACGTAAAAAAAAAACATACTTGGTACATTTCTGCCATACATGCGCATTTTCCCATTTTTTTATAACTTAAAAGGAGTTCTAAAGGCACAGCATATACTATGCGTCTGCCCATCACTTTCAGCATTTTCCTGGCTTGCCAATGTGCTCTTGCCCTACTGCTTGATGTAATGCAACCTTGATTTCTCTAATGTCCATTGAGGGACACCGCTCTGAAGAATTCTGAGATGTAGGCTGCTGCCTCTAGTAGAAATGGACACTAGGCAAACAAATTAAAAGCCTGTCACTTTAGGAACATAAAGTACACCTTCCAGTTTTGCTTGGTGTCCTCGGGAGAATGGATGTCTTTTCTTCATTGACAATTCTACTACCAAGAGCTGCTAGTTGATTCATACCAGCTATTATTAATTGTGGGTATCTCTTGAGCTAGCTGTTCATGCCGGATAAGTTAAATCCTGGACATTTCTCTCGTCATGAATCAGGTCATTTCTGGTCTCAGTACTTTAGCTTCGTCCTGCGGTCTCGTGTACCTGTCTTCATCATTTATCGGTCAGGCCAGTAATAACCTGGGGATTCTGGTGTTACTCTCCCGGGCAGGCCGGGAGCCGCTAACTAATAGCGGGAGCGTCCGGGAGAGTTGGGATGTCTGCCTTCTGCTCAGGCTTACTGGGAAAAAAACTATTGGTGACACTTATCTAAGTCACTGTTCACACCTGGGCGTATTGACGCTCAAACTAAGTATGACAAAACTCTCAACACAAGAAATTCCAACGCACATTTTACACACAGAGACGCTGTTGCCTTGGTGTGAATAGAGACTAAGTGCCCACTTTAGCTCTTCAACCATTATTGACTATGGTCCTTATTTCCCAGACTTTGGCTACTTGGACAAAATCTTTAAGTACAGAACAGGTGACTGCTGGATTTGATCCACATGTTATTGATTGTGTGGATCAGATGAATGTTCCTTCTCATTTTATATGTGCTGAGTTTCTTGATGCTTGTCATCTGCTGTCTCAAGTGTCTGTGTTTTCCATTCAGATACACAGAGCTATCTGATGTAATTGCTTTTTGGTGGAACCCCCAAAGCAAAAGTTTTTTTGCGTTTACCCTACGACACTGATCCCTGTTTTTGGACAATGATTCTCATTATCAATTATCATCGATTAAATCGATTTAGTTTCGGCGATTTCATCAGTGCACATTCCAGGAATAGGAAACTGGCAGGCAAACTTTCTCAGTAGCCAACATTGCCTGCTTTGTCTTGTAAGGAACCCTATTTTGTTCTTTATAGGGTCAAGATTGACCATAGGTTTCCTTTGCACCCTAGGTAGTCTCACCTTTTCATTGAAATGAAGACATTGTTTTACCTTCACTTTGTCCAGCTCCTGTTCATCCTAAGACAAATGCCTTTTCATTGTTTGGATATTGTGCAGGCTATTAGTGTTTATCTCTTATCTACAGCTTCCTTTCTACACTCGTACTCTTTATTTGTTCTTCCAGAAAGGCCTACAAAGCTTGACATTCAAGCTTATGAGTTGCGGGACAGGGTAACACCTTTTCTTGTTTCTGCTTATTCTGCAAGGGCAGTTAGTACTTCTTGGGGCGTTTCAAAATCAAGCTTCCGTTATGCAAGGCTGCAACTTTTGTCTTCTGTTCACAGAAGAAACAATAAAGTTGAGGTTTCAGGCACCTGTTTAAGTGTACTTTTGATATTTTATGTGTTCAAGTTCTTGTAGTCTCCACCCCTCTGTTTGGTCTGCTTTTGAAAGTCCCTATCAGAATTTTTCAGAGCTGTATCCCTCAATGAACGATAGAAAAAATAGGATTTTGTTCTTACCATAAAATTTATTTTCCGAAGTCCATTTAGGGGAACAGCTGCCTCCCCTCAAATTCCTTTGTACTGCTTGGTACAACTGGCAGGTGTGAGGTGAGTGGGCTTTAGTCCTTAACGTGACAGGCTTTTAATTTGCCTAGTGTTCATTTCTCCTAGAGGCAGCAGCAGCATAAACCCTACGTCTCAAAATTCTTTAGAGCTGTGTCCCTCAATGGACTCGGATAAAAGGATTTTACGGGAACAAAAGCCTCTTTTTGGTTGTCTGCGTATAAGTTTTGCACAAAACATTTTTATGATGCCGCTGTTTGGCTTTTACTATATGTACCTTTTTTGTTGGCACATCTGTGTATTATGTGTTTTTGGGCATCAATTCACAGTTTTGTAGCTAAAATTTGATTAGATTATGTAATAGATCCTTTCTAATTGCCTGAAGTTTCACTGTCTCATGGTCTATCACCTTATGTACAGAGTGCTTTACTTGAGGAACAGCAGTCAGTTATGACGCATTGTGCAGAAGAACGCAGGAAGCTTGCGGCTGAGTGGGCAGAGCTTCACACCCAACAGAAACTGAGCAAGGAGCGGGTGGAGAATGACATCACCAGAGCTAAGGTGTCAGAGTCCCAGCGAGAGGGAGCCTTTCTCAGTTTTGCTAAGGTAAATGAGTAATGGTGTAACCATATCTGAAGACTCTCGCTGCAACCTTCTAGATGTCCCATTTCTGTTCTTGCCAAAATATTGTCAATGTGTATTGCAAAAAATCGATATAACATTTGTCCTGAGAAATTCCAGTTTTGCAATTTATGATTACTGTTTCTTTTCTGCAACCAAGTTAAATACCAATCCCTATTCTGGTTTTCCACTGTATGGGTTCCATGGCACATCTGGTTTACCGAAGTAAAACAATTATATAGCATGCCTCACAGTCTATTCCTTGCAATCACTTCAGTGTAAGGGCCTGTTTACACTAGCCCATCCACGAAAATGCTGTGTTTGGCAGCTCTGGCAGTATGCGTTGTATTGCACATTGCCTGAGCCGTCATTGTTTACATGTTTTCCTTCATTGGTAGTGTACAATGTCTACATTCCATACAGGTCCCCGCACCACAGCGCAATGTGACTGGGATAATGTAACAAATATAAAATAAGTGTTATCTCAGTTTGGCTGCAAAAGTGGAAATGCACTTTAGCACGTTGGAAAGATGAAAACTGGGTTGAGACTTGTGAACAGGATGTGTGGATGCTGTACTATGAATTCTGTAGGCCCAATAAGCTATTTTTGATTCAATGTCTTTTATGGCGCACATGGAATGCACACTCGATATGTTATAAATCATCCACATAGTGTGCCTATGGAGATCATTTGCAACATGTAAGCCAAAATCTGGAGAAATCGCAAAATGTGATTTGTCACAGGTGTTTGGCAGTTTCTTTGCCCTATGAACAAATACCTACGCTACAGTGTAGTGCACATATTGGCCGTGGATCTACGCCTGGTCTGACCAGGTGCAGATCTGCACATCGGGCTGACTGATTCCCTCTGCTCACCGTCAGGACAGACGCTTAACAAAGAGAGAATGAGCTGGAAAAAGCTGCTGCTTTCCCCTGCCTAGAAGAGGAGAGGGAAGGAGGCAGTAATGAGTGGCCAGACAGTCACTCAACAGAGAAAGGGGCCAGCTTTGTGCTGCTCTGCTGTCTGCACTTCTCTGTTCCCTCGGTGTTCACTTCCTGATTGCAGGGGAGAGAAAAGAAGAAGCCATACAGTGTTTTTTAATAGCTCACTGTATCACCCCCTGCATAGCGACAGTGTGCTGGGTGTGCACCATCACTGTGCAATATGTGCCTAATAGAGGTCCTCACATGTCCTCTATGTGATGGCCCCCCCATATGATGGCAATGAAGTTAAAGTTAATAAAATTAAAAATACCAAAAAAAAAGTAAAGTCCCCTGACCCGCGATTGTGCTCATACTAACAAAAGCAGGTCGGGTGCGTTTGAAGATGACGATTGTGCTGCACATGTCATGTGTGTGCCAGAGTGAGAGCAATAATTCTCCGGCCAATATTCATGGCTAACTCTAAAATGATGACTGGGCTTTTATATTTATATACATATATACAATCTTATATTTAATTGTATTTTTTGAAAAATTTTGGTGTGTTATTTCAAAAAAAAAAAGTTTGGTTATTTTATTATATTGGCTTGGAGGTTTTCAATTCAGATTATTTTAAATCAATGAAACGAATTAAAAATTGTAATATAATACAAACCGTTATTATGGAAAAAAAAAAAGTGGGAAAAAAAAGTCATTTTTTATTTTGGCCTGACAAATTCTGCTGCAGGATGTGCGTCGCAGTACCATTCATTTCAATAGCACCCAAATGTGCCTCCCGCCTGCAGTTTGATTGCCTTCACTGAACTGTGCAGTGCGATTGCAAAAAAATTTGCAGTTTTATTCTGAAGTAAACTTTAGGTTTGTAATACTGCATTTGTGTATTTTATTTTAAATAAAAGATGTTTTGTTTTTTTTCCATCCGATTGATAAAAAAAATGTATCTGCTTATGAAAATAATCGTTAGTTGCAGCCCTAGAAAGCAGCCACAGAAGGAGTAAAAAAAAAAACGCCTGCCCCCTACCAGCATGCTGCAGAGAAGGAGCCTTGAGCCCTGTGCAGAAGGAATGGGCTCTCTGCAGAGGTCCGACATGCCCCTTTCTAAGTCAAAGATAGTGTTCTCCAATCAGTAAGGAGCAAAAGCTTACTGGTCAAGTATTAACTAGCTATCTATAATAAAATACAAAATTAATATGTATCTGTGTACTTTTCCCCTCCTTCAGGAACAGGCAGAGGTAAAGGTGCAGGCCACTGAACTGCGCAACAAAGAAGAGCAGATGGCTGCAGCCAGGGAGGCACTGGAGAAAGAGAGGCATGAGCTACGACTTGAGAAAGATCGGGTGTATGCCACTGCAATGCGTGTCCGCCAGCGGGCCGAGGAAGTGGAGAGCATGAGCAAGGTACATACTTACACAAAGCTTTAGTGCTAACATCCTACTAACATCCAGCATGCCGCAACTCTTTTGCTGGTGTTCTAGGATGATGAATGTCTTTTCTTCAGCTCTGTTTTGGTTATTGTCCAATGAGGGATACATGATTTTGGAAATAGCCAGGTTATGCTGTCACCTTCAGGATGTTTGGACAAATACAAACAGAAAGGTTTTAAGCCAGCCCCCAGTATAACTCCTCCTCTACCCAGGATTTATCAGTTTTTTTACTAGTGTTCTATGAGATTGAAAACTTTTTCTTGATCATACAGTACATGACAATAGACAACTGGGTAATATGGAGTTATCATCAGGTGATTGAACACTGGCCAGAGCTGTTAGAATCCTAGTTTGCTAGTTTTCTTAGGTGATGGATGTCTCCTCTCTACTGAGGGAGCTGTATGATAATTCAGTTACCTGTGTTTCTTTAAACAAGATCTTTGTCGACCTCTCAGCTCCACGGCAGCAGCTTCGGGGACTGTACCCGGACCCCACAGGAATGAAGATGTTGGGCTGGCCTGTAATGTTGCTTTTGGCACTGGATCCTGCATTAGACCCCCACCTCAGCAGGCGGTACAGCACGTTGAGTTAGCTACAGGTTGCTATACAGGTCCAGGGCAGTGGCGTATCCATACTTGTGTAACCCCATCCCTGAAGACCTCCTCCTGGAGAAGGGTGTATTCTCATCCCAAGTGAGTGTGAAGCTGAGTGTTTGTGAACATTCCCCATTCCCGTGTTGAATGTCTAATGCTACTGGTGGGTGAGTCTCCTCCCCTTCCCCTGCCACCCTCCTGGGTACCCCTAATCTCCATGGGTGCTGGCCCTTTAAAAAATAGTTTTTCCACACACAACATTTTTTGTGTGAAACGCCTTTAGTTTGCCCCAAGTATTGTGAGTACTGTTGTGCCCCCTAATGGAGCAGACATTAAATGCAAAGAGACGGGGGGGGACAGGGGATAGCCAGCAATATTACTGCGAATGGGCACAGGGGGCTACCTAAGGTTTTCCCCGGGGACTCAGCTACATATAGTATTTGTGTTAGCTCAACGTTTAGCTTGCTGCCCTTTCTTAATGCGTCTATCTCCCCATCAGTGGTATCCCACTCTTCCTGCCTTTACTAAAGAAGTTTTTAGTGGCCTCGATGAATGCTTTTATGGGACAAATGTCTGTTATGTTTGAAGCATCCGACTGCAGAAAGTACAAGTGTAGCCCTTTTCTCCTTCCCCTTTGAAATCGGTTTGGAACACAACCATAGCTTCCACCTTATTGATGGACATTGAAGAGGAGGAGGGTGTGGTAGTAGAGGTGTGTATGTTCTCAGAAGTTTTCTCCTAAGGAGGTTTTGTCTACTGCAACCCTGCCCCAAAAACTATGTGACATTTTGGTATTAGTTGATGAGGTAAGAGAATGTCTAACAATTGCTTCACCTTCGCATAAATGCCCCTAGGTCAACAGTATGGGTTCCCTTAAGAAAAAGAAGTCGGCTAAGACCATTTAGAAGCCGGGGGGGCGTGTAATGACTCACCGCCCGGCTTCCTGATACCTGAAGTTCCGGGATTTGGATAAGTATTGGGAGCATTTGGGCGAGTACGAGTACTCGCCCAAATACTCAGTATTGGCACCGATACTAGTATCTGTATCGGTGCATACCTACTTGAAGCACAATGTGGATCTCAGGTTCAATTCCACTGCCCACCTACATTGACACTGTTACCTCTGGCCATCTGAAACCCTCATCAAACCAAAGACATGCGAAGCAAGGTCCCACTGCTACAGGTGATCTCAGCCTATACTGCTCTAGTGGTTCTAAAGGGTGTTAACCCAATATCCCCAAATGGAACTAACACCTGTAATCTGGAACCTGGGACCCATATTATAATATGGTCGTCATCTGCCAAATCTATTTTCGGTCTGTCAGAAGAGGCCGAGGCCTCCCCAATGTTCACAGGGACCTCTGTGTCCACTATGGATTTCCTAGCTTGTTGTACAGACTGGAAACACCCTCAAGGGTGCTGGGTCCCAACTGAGTATATGCCAGAGCATTTACTTTTGAGAAAGGATTTACAAATAGGTGGTCTGTGCAAAATGTGGATGCACCAGTGATCCACCACAACAGGTATACCACTAATAGGGTCCATGGTATGCTTGCCTTTTGGCACTTCCCTGACGGGAAGTTAAATTCCTTCTCCAAATCCCTGTTTGATCAACTGGTTTTGTCCCTTCATCCCATGTTAGCTGTAACTTTGCTCTGTCACAATGGATAACATTTCTTAGAGAGGATGCCTCCTATGCTTGGGTAGGCTCTCGTGTCATAGAGCGGTTGGGGAAGATTTATGGAGCTGCGCTTTAGTTGTGACTGCTTGTTACAAACTTGCAAACTTGTGTCTCGCATATGACTCTTGTCTGTGTAAATTCATAGGGTACTCCTGACTACATGTGCTGATGAGACATCCAAGAAAGAGCTGATTGGTCTACCCTTAGAGGGACATTGTCTCTTTGGGCCGGCTCTTTACGCTGTTAGTAGCAGCACCATGGACTGTCCGAATATGCTTCTGCCAAAGCACAGGAGATATGCGGGAGGGTCAGAGGGCCCCCACCCTTCTATTCCACTTCATCTGCCCTAGTATTTCTTACATGTAGATCTGAGTCCAACTCCCTTTCAGGTCGTACGTCAAAAACCCAGAGGTCAACTAACTCCTCTGTTGAGCCTTCGGTGTGAAGTTTTAAAGGGGAGGGTTTTTATATCCAAATTGGTCACCAAATATTAGGCCTCTTTGTCAATTGGATGCTCAGGATACCCCCTTTAGTTTACAGTCTAACACCTTGGGGCTTGTATCTATTCCAGCTGCCTCTAGCCATATCTGTTCTACTACACATAGGTGTACTTCTACCCAAGTCTCCCTGGGTTCCATGCACCCTAGGATCCCTGTCAATTCCTGTCTTGGTGAGAACTTGACCTTGGGAGTTATTCCCCAAAAGTAAATTGCATCCCCTCCTGTGGGAAATTCTGTATCCTCTGATATTGTTGAGCCTTATGATTCCCCCTTTTTTTCCTGGGGATAGGCTTTAACATTTACATACAATTTGCAAATTACCATATCTTTGGGAACTACTCCAAAAAGGGGAAATATCCTGGTTATGTCATCATGTAAATCAGTATATAGAAGCATATAAGAGTATATATTCAGCCTGTGTAGATAACATGTCTATGTCAAGATTAAATATTTTTGGTACTCCCTACTACACCTGGCATAAGCAGTGGATGCTGTGGTGGCTCGGTGGGATCAATATGTCTTGTCTTCTTAGCAGGATTAATCTGGAGTACTGTACATTACAATGATATTCATTACTTCCAACTGGCCCAGATGAATATGGTATGCAGACCTGAGGGACTCTTTGGGAGAATGATGGATCTCCTATCTCAAGGTCTGATTTTACCATCCTGCTTCACAGTCACTGGCTTTAACAGTATGGCTGTTGAGGCCTAGGTTTTGAGAAACAATGTTGTTGTTCCTTGTAGCCATCACCAAGTGACGGCCTTATCTTGCAAGGACCTTTTTCTGTTTTTGTAAGGTGGTCTTGTTGCCTAGGACTTCTTTCTGCCTATGGTAGTCTCTGACTTTCACCTCGTCCAGCATATTGTTCTTCTGCCCCTTTGTCTGGCTCCAATTCACCCAAAGGAAATATCACACCATTTTGTCTGTATGTGGTTCGGGCTGTAAAAGTCTTTCAGCCACTGCTTTTTTCCCAGGATGACAGATTCCTTTTTTGTTATTCGGGGTGGAACCCATAAGGGTTCTCCATCTTCTGTCTTCTCATTGCACAATTTCTCGGTGACTGAGACAGCCCACCATCCAAGCATCAGGTTCCACCCTTCCCTTTCAAGGCAAACGCTACTAGATCTGTGAGTGATTATTTGGCTGTTTGGTATGAGGCTATTGTTTCCCAGATTTGCAAGACTGCCACCTCGTCATCTGTTTACATGTTCTACCAGGTGGAAGTTAATGCCTCATCTAATGCTAGCTTTGGGAGTAAGGTCCTTCAGGTGACTCTTTGAACTGCAGGCAGTTCCCGCTTCTCTGTTTACTTGGACCTGTTAACAATTGTTTGTTGTGTTGCTCAACTTCAGACTGTTTTTGAATGCCCCAAATGTTAAGGATTTCCTGTGTTTCCCTCAATGGATAAAGAAAATAGTTTTTTGTTTTTACTGTAAAATCCTTTTCTTGGAGCCCCTTGATGGACACAGGTCCCACTCCTCTGTTTATGATCATGCTTTTGGCGCTGCTTTACTACAAAACATAGGTATGCTGTTAGGAGGAGTTATCATGGACTGGCAGTTTTTGGGGAGGTTATCAGGGCCTGGCATTTTTTTTTGGGGGGGGGGGTTTTGTACGCCTCTAATCCTCCCATAGGCAGCAGTATTACCTAAAGTGAAAGACTTCCTGTGTCCCTCAAAAGACTCCAAAAAAAGGATTTTACAGGGAGTACAAAATCCAATATTGAATTAACCGAGGTTGCCTGTTATATAAATGGAGTTTATTTTTTAATGTAATTCACTGTAATTCTTTAGTAGAGGAAAATACCCAGCAGAAGTCAGTCTGCTTTTCCTATAAGTGTTCATTGCTCAGAAACTAGTGCTGCTCTGCCACTTTGTGGTAGGAATATGTAAAGCAATTAAATGTACACCTTGTCTCTTTTGTCAAGCTTGCCTTACAGCGTCATGAAGAGGGAGAAAATGCCTTAGCTGAGTCAAAGAAGGTAGAATTTGGACACCAAGACCGTCTGAGGACCATTCAGCAACAACTAGAGAGGCTCAGACAGCAGGAGGAACATCTGATGGAGGTGAGCAATTACTTATTTTATTTTTTGCTAGAGGGAGCCTATTGTCTTTACCCGGCTTGTTACATTCCTTAGGAACGCAAGAATCTTGCCCACCAGAGAAGACAGTTAAACCAGCTACGCCAGGGGCTGCCCACAATGCAGACAGAAGCGGCACAGCCATCATCATTGGCTGAACCCATGCATCTTAATGGTAAGACAATCTGTACCAGTGACCAAGATTGTTTAGCACCTGGGTCCTATGAGTTACCTTGGCAATACACTACACCTCGACCTCTATCTACACTATGCCTCACACCATTATGCCCTCAAGTCATATTGTATCCAGGTATTTGTGTGAAATACGGCATCACTGGCATAGATGTGAGTTAAATATCCCAGCACTGTTTAACATAGTAAAGCTGAACTTCTGGCAATTACAATTGAAAACTTCAATTGTAATATATTCCTCAATATATATTAAAACTTTAGAAAGTAATACGCATATGACAAAATGTAGGGGAAATCCTCCAAGAACTATGTGTACTTTTATTGTATCTCATCACTAATGCAGTGTTGTCTTGTGTTCTATTGCAATTACAATTAGGATCTCTGTTTCAGGTGTGCCTTTTGCGGTACCCAGTAGAAAATTTGCCATCTCAGGAATCCATCAGGACAAAGCTCCTCAGACATCCGATATTTATGCCAAGGTGGCTCTTCTCAGGCTCTCAGCGCAGCGGGTATGGATAACACTTGTGACCAAGGCTGGTAAATTTGCAACAGTTTTATCTGTTTCTCTAATCTTATAAAACAAAAAATAATAACGAGTCAACTGCAGGGAAAGCAACACTTTCAGGAGTGTTGATTTCATGCGTGTCCCATAGCTCTCACTGACATACCTCTTTGTGACTGATGTGTCCTGCTGTGCTGTACTGTAGCAGGAGTAATCATTAAGCACTGCAGAGGACAGGTGACATGCATGCTTTAACTGAGTCATTGTATTACTGTGACAGATTAGCTTTAAATCAAATCTGTGGGTGTTAATAGTTAAGTAATCTGTTATATTGAATAACAGGCAGTTCCTCGTGTCACCCCCACTTTCTTCTAGATCATCCCAGGATCTCTGTTTTGAAAAAAAGCAAGGCAGCTTGCTGGTCATGAGTTCTAGTCAGTCCACGCTCATCCTCTGTGCTTTTACTGCTGGACCATTACTTTAATTGGTACTATCACTGGCCAATGTGGAGGCATCTGAAGCATTAGAGGGCAGGTTGCAGACCACAGCATAACCACCTGCATAACAGAGGACTCTGGGTTTTAGATCTATGTGGTGCTGTAGAAGAAAGAGGGATGTGCAGATAACTGGTGTACTTTGTTTCTTAGTGTGAGTGACAATTTTCCGATTTAACTTTACTGATAATTGTCCGGTCACGTTTGCCAATTCTCATTTAGGACCGTGACTTCCTAGAAGATGAGCAACTTTTCCTAGAAGCTTTAAAGAAATCGAACATCTCCTGCTCTCAGACAGTCTAGGAATGTTACTTGAAAGCAAGATGTCCATTTTACTTCATATCTTGAACAGAAAAGACTTGGCATTTTATATTTAATACGTTTTGTATATTTTTTTTATACCGGCAAAATAAAAAAAAAACCTTATTCTGTTTTCTCCATTATTTCTCTAAATGTCAGATGTCCTTTCTCAAAGAGGCATAAGCTGAATTTTAAATAAGATGGGGGAACAATAAAAATTTTAAAAAATTAAAAAACGGTTATATGACGATCATACACCAATGAACCATAAAAATATGACCACCTGCCTAATATTGGGTAGATCCTCCTTTTCCCACCAAAACCACCCTGACCTGGCAAGGCATGGACTCCGCTAGACCTCTGAAGGCATCTGGGATCATATGAACAGGGATTTACCATACAAAACGTTAATATGAACAGTAAGGAAAACAGGGATAGAACGTATGAAAACAATTCTACCGCAGTTCTACTAATGGCCACTGGATGGCAGCAGGGTATTCTGAGTTCAGCCTAATGACAGAAAAGGGAGATACAGAATCTCACGTGTCCAGTATAAGGAATCATTTGTTCAACAAACTGTTAGCCGAGTGGATCTCCTGCTGGCACAGGCTTCACACTGGCACTGCTGCTGCCTGCTTCGGTCAGGAGGTTCTGGTGGCTGTAGATAGGGCCACCCCACTGTATGGCCAGCTTCTCTAAATGGACTGTAACAGAGTCCTCTCCAGTGACTGGGGCTTGGACAGATGCTGCGTGCACTTGTGCTCACTGCTGGTGGCCCACACCAAACTTAACAGGGGAGGACCCAGCACCTGGGAACAGATCACTTGCCCAGTCACTGCTGTCCCATCAGGCAGGGTCTCGCTGAGCACAGGAACTTGGGAGGAGCTGGCATTTATATCCCCTGGGTGTGTCCAGGAGCTCAGGGCATGCTGGGAGCCCAGAGGATTGTGGGAAGTTAAGTTAAAGGGACCTGCACCTGAATATGAATAAAAGTGCACTCCGCCAAAGCACTATGTTTGTTTGTCCAACATATACAGGGTTATTCACAAAAGTGAATAACGCATCTGATTTGTGGCGGGAAATCTATCAACCAATCAGTAGATGGCTTTACCTTTATGTATCTTCTGTCAGTGCTGATCTTCAAGACAAGTTGCCCTGCTCTCCGCCCTTTGTCGCAGCTTACCTATTTGGGGGTATTTTGGCTCACATGTGACAGTGTCTAGAATCTTTGGTATTATGTCTTTATGACTGAGCTATTTGTGTTTTGAAGATTAAGGGGGTTGTTCACAAAAGGGTGAAGAGTTTGGAGAAGGCAGGAGAAGTGAACAGTCGAGGAAAATATAGCAGAACTGGAAAGTGAGCTGAATTGGAGAATTTCTCCAAATCAGTTATGTTGTCCTCGATTGTTCACTTCTCCTGCCTTCTCCAAACTCTTCACCCTTTTGTGAATAACCCTGATAATAATAAAGCTAGTTTTGATTTAAAAGGATACATATTCCTGATTTACTAATTTGGTAATGCTGTGTTTATTGACTGTCGTCTCCAGAGAACAAAGCAGTGTGTGTATTTGTGTGTAGGTGTGTATTCATGCTCTGTCCTTGGTTGTGTCCTTGGGGACATTGACAAATGTCTCCTGTGACTCTTTCTGCATCATTACCTAAGCAAACTAGATTCTACCACCCTTCTCCAGCACGTATGACAGCCTGACATAAGCAGCAGGAAATGGAATTAACACCTTAACCTCATATTATTATTATTATTAACCACTTTAAAGAAGAAAACCACGGGTAGAAATATTAATAAATACACGGATGAGATCATTTTTCTCTCATTCTTTGTTCGGTGGGTTCATCGCAGTTCTATCAATTCCAGAGGTACTGTATTCCCTTTTTGTAAAGGTTTGTCCATGGTTCTCTATAGCGATACCTGTACCAGGAAGGAATGTGTCTTTTGATATGCTGAACTGAGGTTTTTTTTTTTTCTAAGGCCGTTTAAAAAGATTGAGCAACATATAAAATGCAGAATGTAACTTTTAGTTCAATATTCAATAAAAGCCCATTCACACCAGCAGCTGCCTTACACCACACTGCTGCTGGGGTGCGTTGATAAGTGCTGATGAGCTGATCGCAACACTTCGCCCTGTTTGACATTTTATTAAAGCGGACCCATACCCATATCTTTAAAATTACAACACAGACATCTTTAGAAATGTTTAGTAATGACAATCTACAAACAGATACGTCTAGGAAATTGCATGGCTTTGTATTCTTTGCATACCTTATTATTCATCTCCTCCCCGTTCTTTTCACAGTGGCCATTTTTACTAAGGGCAGATTATTACATTTCCCTTTACTTCCTGGAACTCTGGCTCATGTGATTAGGACATGTCACCATACACATCATCTCAGGGGAGGAAAATGCCTTTCCCCGAGATCTCATGAGATTATAAATGATTTTCCAGCAATGCACTATGACGTAACTGTAGCCCCCATCACCTTTTGTGAGGTGGCTCCTAGAAATTAAGTGATTGCCAGAGCTGTAGACCTTCTTCTGGCTGAGTTATAGTTGGCATTTATCTGGTTAATTCCAGGTGCATTGATTGTATTTATCTGGTTAATTCCAGGTGCATTGATTGTACCTACCTGGGTGGAGTGCGACTCTGCTGGATTGTGGGAGAGCTAATGAGGGACACTGTGAGTGTGTGTGCAACTCACCAACCAATCACTGGGTCTCTCTCAACCAGTGTTACATGCAGGCTAGGTGCTTATTTACTGCAGGGAATTGCCATGTGCTCAGTTCAGGTCCAGGTTGGGGTGCTGTCCAGCCTGCCCCCTAGGTTAGGCCTGAGGCCTGGGGGTGGGAATGCAGAAAGTGTTTCACTAGGTCTCAAGTATGGAGGAGGCCTGTGCTGTTGTCGGAGGAGGAGAGCAGGGAAGCTGATGGCTACTGGAGGTGCCCTGAACATAGTGGACCTCAGGGGCATGTCTGGTGTCTCTCCTGCTGAGGATCTGTGTTCATCCCTTCTCATCTGCTACTCAAATTCTTATTCAATGTGCTACCAATGGATCTACACAGAGATGCTTAAAAGGCTCTAGTGAGTCTGGAGTCTACGTCTGTACTACCTTGGATGTCTAGGATCCCTATATCTTCTCCCCTTTGTGAAGATGTTAATAAAATTTATACATCACTAATACCCAAGAGGACCAGGAAGTATAAAAACAGTAATTGTAAGTAAAAGAAAAATATGTTTAGCTAATGAACATAAGGTGATTTCATATCAGCATGCAGACCTGAACGCTGAGGTGATTTTTAGTGAAAGGGGTAAAGGTCAGCTTTAAGTTTTATGGGCACAGCATGGTGAAATGCGGTTGTACCAATTCACAATGCACTGGAGTAAAGTACAGTAATGCCTCGGTTTACAAGTAACTTGGTTTGAGAGTGTTTTGCAAGACAAGCAAACATTTCTGTAAAATGTTGCCTTGATATACAAGCAATGTCTTGCAATAAGAGCAAAATGTTGTAGAAAAGCACCACCGAATAAGGCTGTAGCAGTGCGAGCGATGAGTCTGTTTAAGGACAATGCATGGCACATTGGATAGATTCCTTGTTAAGGTTTCAAGAAATGAAAGAGATTAATTGAGTCAAAAGATGGCAGTGATTCTGTTAGTGATAATGAAAGTCGTCCTACACAATAATCCTCCTCTCTCTTGTGCCCCTCACACCAGCCACGAAAGTACCGGTAATTGGTATATTTTTCTTTATATTTTGTACAGTTTTATATTACAGTACAGTATTGTAATCATTTTTATATGAATATTTTTGTGTTGTGGAACGAATCATCTGAATTTCCATTATTTCCTGTGTATTGAAATTCGCTTTGATATACAAACGCTTTGGATTACATGCTTCCGGAACGAATTATGCTTGTAAACCAAGGTATTACTGTACTGCATGCCGTACTTTTTTTCAGGGCACACCACTACAACATGGTGTGAACTGAGCCCATCTGGAACAAAGCAAATTGTCTTGTGTTGCATTGTGGCTGTGCAGGCAAAAAATCCCAGAGCAGCCCCAACGCATAGGGTGTGAATGGGCTCTAACGCTTTTGGCGGGTCCACCAAAATGTTTTACTGATCAATGCTATCAGGGAAGCTAGTTACTTCCAATTCTTGCGGAGTCCATTGGTGAGATTTCCCGTCTACCTTAACCTCCCTGGCGGTATGATTTTTGTCATGTAATTTTTCGGTCTTTGTTGTTTAAAAAAAAAAATTTTTTAATATCCCGCCAGTTCCGCCCCCTCGCAAGGGACGGAAACCCGGAAGACGGAAGCCGGCATCGGCCGCAGAACACAGCGCGGCTCGAGGGACAAGGTAAGTAAATGCTATGCGGCTTTCTCGAGTGTAGCTCGGGGGTTACCGCTTATGGTATGAAAAAGTAACCCCGAGCTACACTCGGGAATACCGCCACGGAGGTTAAGGGCTTTGGTGCTCTGACTTACCATTGTTACATTCTCGGTAACATAAAATAAGAATCCAGAAGGGAGAGCAGGAAGCCCTTCTAATAGCCTCTGCAGGAGGTCAGACCCGGGAACACAATCAAGGGACCTCACCACCCCTGAGAGATATAAGAAACTGCTAGATGGTTTCATGTGATTGTAGACCCCACAGCACCCAATAACCAACCTGGAAGAAAAATGTATTAAATAAGTAATTGACACTAAGCACCAAAGTTTAGGAAAATGAATGGCCCCGGACCTTTATTGGGTTTAGACGCAAATTTTAATGAACATTTTTATTACATTTATTGAAAACTTTTAACTGTAAACTCGGCTTTTAAAAAACATACAGGGTTATTCACAAAAGGGTGAAGAGTTAGGAGAAGTGAACAATCTAGGACAACATAGCTGAACTGGAAAGTGGGCTGAATTGGAGAATTTTTCCAAATCAGCTATGTTGTCCTAGATTGTTCACTTCTCCCGCCTTCTCCAAACTCTTCACCCTTTTGTGAACAACCCCCTTAATCTTCAAAACACAAATAGCTCAGTC